ACAGCTCTCAGAAGTTAGTGTCTTCTGTTTATTGACAGCGTGTTGGCATCACTTCTCCAGTTACCAGTGGAGAAGTGCTTTTTCATAGCTCTTTAAATCGAACCTTCTCACCAGTCTGCCCATACCAAAACATACTGAGATAAATACACTTTCGATGCTTAGTAATTACCAGAATTATATACGAACTGTAGGATTTACTAGATCTCCAGCATAACCTAACCTGTGTATCCTAGAGGCAGACACAGACAGTAAAATCTAGCCTTGCTCACAGCTGGGAACATTTGGAACCAAATAGTTTGTTAGTGCATTACAGAGATAGGGAAAAAAAAAAATCATGAAATTCACATATGTTCAAGATCCAAATTCCACTGCAGTATTGTCATCTGCAAAACTGAACTTGTCATTTGGGACTATCTCTGCTGTATGCTTTGTTTCCTCAGGGGAGAAGGAAGAGTGTAACCTGTCCTTTTATCCAGTCATTTGCCCTGGCTCCAACAGCATAGGAGAACTAAAAATCTATAAGATTTAACCAGGTAGATAGTCTTTTGACACAGAGAAGAAAGCAGTTGCCTTCAAGCTGTTGAATCTGGCCCTCGTCCCACCCAACTCTGCAGTGTTTGGTACAGATAATGTAACGGGTAGAATAGGCCACACCAGCAGCAGTTTTTACTTAGGCTATTATCTTCCAGTAACCTCTTCTGGAGAGGGGAGAAGTCAATCTAAATAGAGAAACCTTGAAATGCAGTCAGTTTTTTTGCAAACTTCATCTGGCTTCAGTGAGATGCATATTTGAAAATCCAGCTTGAAAGCTTCAATAGAAGTAGAGATCCAAATTTGAAATCAGTGCAATGATTTTAAATGAAGCAAAAAACTTTTGACATACACTAATTGCATCAGATCTCTGGCAGGTTTCGAAAAATCAAATACATCCAAAACTCACAGATCTCCTGTTTTCCAAAAGAGAGCTCTTTTGGAGAATGTATACAGGTTTCTATCGCAGCCTTTTTTCCATGCACAGAAATCCCTCCCATCTGCTCTAGAATCAATCTTCTTATAAATTGACTTACTTTCTCTAGATAGTAGATAGTGATGCAATTGAAATAGGTTAATCTGATTTTCTTTTCCTTCTGATTTGTACCCATTTGATGCTTGTAATTCTGATTGACACTCACAGTTCCCTTTGTTATTAAACATCATCCTATTGTAGTGAGGATGATCGATATTTGAGCAGAAGAATCTGAAACATTAGAGATTCATCATAAGAGAAACACTTTTTTTTTTTTTTTTCCCCCAGCTTTCTTCTGTATAACAGAGTTTTATAAAACTTTCCAAAGAATGAACAATATTTATGTATTTCTTAACTTTATATTCCCAACTTTCCCTTGGGAACAGGATGGCAAAAAAAAAGCCTACGTGTAACATTTTAGAAGTACTTCAGAGTATGTATCTGCAGTAGAATATTACACAAAGGTTTGCTAAGCCTAAATCTACCTACACTGACCCAGGCCTGTTCCACTACTTTCAGGTTAGGCTTAGCGTGAGCAAAATCTGGCAGCATGATATTGAAATGCTTTCAGTAGTACAGATGTGTTAAGTCTCAATTCTTAAACATTATATTTAGGAGCCTCTATTTAGGGCAGGTCTTGAATAGACACAGAGTTTGTTATTAACATTTCATTCTTACAAATGGCTTGGAAAAATCTCTTCTGCAAGTTCAGACTTATGAAGGCATCTCAGAGCCCAAAGGTGCAGACAGGTTCTGGAGGGATTTTCAAAAGTCCCTCAGTGAGCGATGTGCCTCATTTCACTGAACACTGGAAAGAGTTAAATTACAGATCTGTTCGAGTGCTTTTATCATGTCAACAAAGAGCATCTCTGCATTGCTAGATCTCTAATTATCTCTATAAGATAGTCTCCAATTAGTTGCAGATGGCCAGCAAAAGCGAAAGGAATGAAATGTTTCTGACAAATACATGCTGCTTCTAGGTTAGGAAAGGTTTTGTTTTTCTGTGTGGATTTTCTGGCAGTAGCTCTGACTCATGTTACTCTGGCTCAGCACTCTGTTGTCTCAGTATGGCTCTACAAAGTGATAGTAAATAAGGCCTGGTGAGCGGCAGACTCCATGGAGGGATTGTTTACACGATGACATTACAAACCCCTTTCCACAGTGATGCCATCACGTCATTTCCTTAACTCCTTCATTATTGTCAGTATTCTTTGGGGAGATAGGATGATGCTCTCTGACGTGTCAGCAATCAGCCTTTATTAGGGAGCTTTTAATGACGTGTTACCAGACAAATGGGGAAACTGCCTATCTTATGAATGATCACTGCAGATACTTTTTCCTGAGAAAATTATGCTTACTGAAAGAAATCAAAAGAATCTAATTACAGTGATTTTTATAGAGAGAGTTAAAAGATGCATGTCAAAAGGGACTGATACATAATTAAGATAATCTCAGTTGCAATTCCCAAACCATGTAATTACTTGAAATGATTGGCACTGTGCAATCTTTATGAAAGTGAGCTACTTTGATAACAAAATGATACAACCTTGATATCAAATAGAGGAAAAAAAATAGACAGGATAATAAAATCAATATATTTGCAGGAATAATAATCAAGTAGGGAGCAGTCAATATGCTGGAAAGACGGTACAAACAGAAACCCACTAGCCGCCTCCAACTCAAACTCTGTGCTACATGTTTGAGTCACTCTGACAGTTTGACTCACTCTGACAGTCTGGAAACTGACATGCAAAGTAAGTTGCCTAAGCTGGTGGTCAAAATCAAGACCTATGATAACAAGATAATAACAAGAAAGCGGCAAGAACTGAAGGAAGAAAGGAATAAAAAGAGTAAATTAATAGAAATGGAAGGGATCATAAGCCTTGCAATAGATGTGCTAGACTTTTCTGAGGCATTGGATTTCTCCATGTGTTGAGTTTGCTCTAGATTCTCATAGGCACTCCAAACCCATAACTGCTAAGTAAGTGCTGGACCGTCTTGGATTCAGGCACTCAGACATCTTTGAGGATAAAGGTCTTTGTATTTCAGTTTCTTGTTGACTGTATTACACTCATAAAGACGTTAGCAATTTTTGATATATATAAAATATTAAAACAATTAATTTAACTCAGATTTTGTTCACCACAGATGTAATTTATTTCTACAAGACCTATAGCTACTATAGCAGAATGTCGTCTGTTGAAAATTAACAGGTAATTTTTCCACTCATTAAAAATGACAATCCTATCATGTCCCTGTGCCCAAGACCTGCTTGTAGGGCTGTGCTCCTAATTATGATACAGCTGTTGTTTGAATGACATCAACAAATTGTGAATTATTAATGGGCCCCAGAGTTTTGTGGACACTACTTGGAGACACCAAAACTTTCATGGACTTCAATGGATACTGAATGATCACCCATTTTGTAAAAGAAAATAAGACTGAGTAAATACTTCATTATTACTCTATTGACTACCTGTAACTCGTTTATCTTATGACCTGCAGTGTGGATCACTTCAAACTCAGTTTCTTATTTAGTTGTAGAGATACACAAGCTAAGTTTTTCTACAAACTTTAAAATACAAAAAATAAACCACCAATACTTTATTTGGTGAGATTGGTCTTTTTTCCTAGGCAACTAGTGATAGGATGAGAGGTGGCCTCAAGTTGTGCCAGGAGAGATTCAGGAAAAATTTGTTCTCTGAAAGAGTGTTGAGGGATTAGAACAGGCTGCCCAAGGAGGTGGTGGAGTCACTGTCCCTGGAGGCATTCAGGAACTGTGGAGATGTGGCACTGAGGGACACGGTTAGTGGGCATGGAGGATGGGCTGGCGGTTGGACTTGGTGAACTTAGAGATCTCTTCTTATCTCAATGATTCTATGTTTACTGCAAATTTAGTAAATACGTCTCTTTGTGCACTGATTCCAAAAATTACTTTTTTGTCCTCTGCTCATTTAAGCAATCTGTTTCCCTGAGATCTTGCAAAATTAAAGGCTCTGATTTAATTGTCCGTATCTTGCCAAATTCATTAAACCCATTCAATCCAATCTTACCACTTTTTGGTACAAGAATGAAATCACTAAATAATTTTCTAGCATATGAACATTTTAATTACTACTCCTTTCCACCAAAGAAAATTTAATTTTTGTAACTTTTTACCCGAGAAGTACGTTGATTTCTTGACACATGCACTAAACTTTTTTTGCCCCCTGCAAAAGCTACATGCTAGTAACCAATAGCACTTAACTAAGTGTAAACTTAGCTCTCTGTGCTCTTCCAAAGCAGTTCTACTGGGCAGCCATTCTTTCCAACTGTAACAAATTCCCTCATACATGCATTCTTGCAGCTTCCTGGCTGTTGGCTGATGTGACATATGGGATTGCTAAAGCAAGTTTGAAATTCACTGATTTGTCTTTAACATTCAACCGAATTCTACCAAATCTGTATTTTGAATCTCCACTGAAGCCTGTCATTTGTGCCTTTGTGTAGCATGCTGGTGCTGAACATCAAGGAGAGATAAATAAATCTGATGATTTGTAAGTGACCGTGCTTTTCAGTAACAAATCACTCTTATTACAGTAAGAACTATCAGAACTAAATTTAAGAAGAATAAAATGTTATTTTGCAATCATAGAGTATTCAATTTTGCAATCATTTTGTTATTTTGTTTGTTTAGGATGAGTCAATTGTAAATTTGATCATAGTTGATCATCTGCTAAAAATCGTATCTAGATTGTGAAAGGAGCAAAGCTGAAGTGGGATTTCAATCCAAGACTGTAAAGTTTTTTTTTTTTTTTTTTTATCCTGTAATTTTACTTTATTAAAGTATGAGAAATAATGAGGCTTATCATGAAACTTGTCATCTTTTGAAAGTAAAAAACAACCAGCAAGACCAAAAAAAATAAGCCAACACTGTAAGACTGATCACACTTCTGCACAGACTGGCAGAGAAGTCTCAACCACATGTCTGGCATCAGCCAGGTGACTTTCTTACCTTCACCGCAAACTCGGTTTCTGTTGCTTTATGAACACACCTCTTGCACACTGAATAGGAGCCAATTCCTATGTCCTCCTTGATCTCATATCCATCTGTAAAGTGAATATTGTTTCCATGTAATTGCTGTAGAGAAAGACAAAATAAACAAGGTAATCAGGACAGGGGTACATAAATGCAGGGACTAGCCTAGTTGTTCACAAAGTGTTTGATCTCATCTTCACCACAGCTTGTGTGTTCTAAGTCAAATTAAAAAATATCTGAAGCTGTTTATCTAAACAAGTGTGTCCCAGCCCTTTTTACCTTTTTCTCTCTCTGTAAGAGGGAGTTTTCCATTTAGAAGTAATAGGAAAAAAAGGAGTGATTTTGTAAACTATGGAATGCAGACAACCACTTCCTATTAAAAATTCACAGGGAACTGCAGGCCGAAGTCTCTTGAGAAATCCACATTTCTCAACTATAGAAACTTATTCTTAATTACTGAAGGGCCAGATAATTTGGACGGGCAGATTGATTAGGTGATGATGCCCTCCCAAAGCCCAAATTTAAACCTTGCTGCAAACTCCATTCCAGGATTGAAGAAATCACCAGCACCTCTAAAAACCCTCTAGGACCTTCTGTCTAAAAATGTATCCTCACTGGAAAAGCCTAAGCAGAATCTTGTCAGACATGTAACCATGTAAGACATGCACATATTGTATTAGTACATTTTTAGAAGAAAACAGTTACATTTTTTGGGGTGTAATTGTTTGGATAATAATTCACTTAATGGTGCAGAAAAGAGCTTTTAATAATGAACTATGAATTATTAAAATAGGGATGAAAGCTGGTACCATAAGCAAGGACTCTTCCCCTTGAGGCATGTGTATCTCTTGCTGTGGGTAAGAGAAAAGATTTTCCTCGTGGAAAAATCTGCAGTGTCTTTGAGCAGCCCTCTTCCTCTCCAGATTCACTGTTCCTCTGATGTACAGAGCCATTTGTAGCAATTCATTTCTGGTTTACTCCATTGTGAAATTACAATTGCTGGAGAGAATGTCATAGGGGAAATGACAGCAAGAAAACAAGAATCTGGCAATTTTCCTTCCACTGCCAAGCTAGTCTGGGTTATGTGAGTATGACCAGGCTCTTGTGTAATCACAGCAGGAACACTGTGGCCTCTCTATATCCAGGAGCTTGGGCTCCACGTGTGTGGGAGCCTACGGAAATAATTAATTAAGCCTCTCTGCCAATACTGACTGTATCACATAACTCTAGACAAAACTGTTGAGAATAACATCAGTCACTAAAAAACAACACTTCATTACCTGCCCTGTAATAATGTTTCAGCTATGCAGAAGTACTTTTCATCTGAGCTGTGATAAGGTGTGATCCCTATTTCCTTTGTAGAGCAGTGGAGAATGTAAACGTAAAGATAAAAGCCTTTGTAAAAAAATATATCTAATTTTCCATCTCCTATATGAAACATGGAAACAGATGAGGGTTGGGTTAATCTGAAATGCTGAGGCAGTTTAAATACAATGTGCACATATGCACCTGCCGATCAAGTGCAAAGTTTAACATCAGCATCCGTACCTGCACAATTGGATGAACGGTGATTTTGTGCACATCCTGCTGTGCAGGCTCCTGCACCAAGTTAGAGGCAACAAAGCTAAACCCTCTGAAAAGATGATGAGCATTGGCACTTGGAGGAACACCTGGGGAATCTGTAGAAGGAAGAAAATGACCTTATGAGTGGCACAAAGGATCAGAAAGTAATATTATAACAACTGCAGTAGACTTAGTCACCCTGTCAGTCAGCTGCACACTCTGCTGAACTGGTAGACATGTATTTATTTAGTTCACCTCCATAATAAATGATGTGCCTTCTCTATCCCCTTACTCTGGATGTGAACAGTGCAGGGATATTATTTGCAAGATCAATCCTCTTGGATACAGAGGTTAAATCATGGTTAATTTTCATTCCAATGTGAAGCTCCATCTGTGTCAGGAGTATGCGTAAGCAGAGAAGGGACAGTTTGACAAGGGCAGTAGAAGAACAGATAGCTCAAGGCAGGACACCCCTTTGGATTAGCAGAAGTTCTCTAGGGAGTGGAAAAAAGCTGCAGGATGCAGGATCTGTCCTTTGTGGAACAGAAATTTGTGGACTACAGAAATTACAAAGGCTAAAGTAATGCAATGTGATGTGTGGATGAGGAGAATGCAAAGGAGAAAAAACCTGAAGTGAGTGTAAAAGCACAAAGCTCCCAGAGTGGTGGTCTGCAGTCTCAAAGGGATCTTTCCCTTCTCTCCCTCAAAGGGTGCAGCTTTAGGAGCTGGGATCTACCCCAGGAAGAGGCTGGCTGACTTGTCCTCAGGTGAACAAAAACTGGCTGGGGGTGTTGAAACTAAGCTCCTCACTCCAGAGGAGTTCAAAGAGCCCTGAAATGTTCTGCCTTTGGAATGAAACAACTAGAGAACAGTCTCTGGTACCTTTCTCTCAATGAGAGAAACATCCTGCCAAAACAAGAAGAGAAGTGAAGCTTCACTTAGAATTCTGAAATTCTTTGAAGAGATCTTTCTCGTACAGTGTAAATTTTGTCGAGGACACTTTTGTAAGCAGTAAGACCAGCAATGCAAACTATTCCTGGGCACGTAAAATGTAAACTGTGGATATTCTTTATTCCCCTTATCATTGTGATTTCTAAAATGTAACATGTGGTTCACTGTACAACGTTCTGTCTTTCTGAAGCTGTAATACGGTAGAAACAATTGATCTGCTCAGAAAAACATAACTGAGACTGCAGCTAATTCTGCATATCTACAAAGTCTCAGCTTTGGCTGAAGTCAGAAACAAGAACAGCAAGTCTAACCTCACTCCAAACTATGTGAAAAAGCCTATTCTTTGGTAAAACAAAGTGGGCTATTTGTTTATTTGTGTGTCAATGAGAACAGTCCTTGAAAATACATGGATGAATCTCATCAGACCTCTTGCATCACTGGGTACTTCTTACAATGGCGTATATACTAGAGTAGTTTTCCAAAATAGATTAATTAAAGGAAAATAGTATTTATTTTGAAAATGGAATGGGAATAATTCAAATCTTGAACATTATTGAACTATACAAGAGTTGTGACTCAGCTCTAAACCACAAGTGCTTGGTCATCTCTGTTAAAAACAACTGTTCTTTCATAATTCACTCCTAATCTCTTTATGAAACACTATATAAGAACAACTGATTGTTTGGTGTTCAGTGTTAAATATTCACTACCACTGACTAATGTGCCCATTGTATGGACTGGATGTTAATACATTTGCGTTAAATGCAAAACTCCGTTTTATGTTAACTATGATAGTTATGAATCCTAAATCCTTTTTCTGGTCTTGATAAATACTGAATCATTGTACGTGTCTGACACACTTGCAAACACCAATCTCCTATAATGGCTATCTTCCTAACTGCAAAAGCTATAATGCTTTGTCCTTCCTGAGCATCTTACAGTATTACAGTATTCATAAAGGCCTAACAAATCTGTAGGAACTTACTTCAGCATTCTTCACCTAGGGTTAGTAAACATTATTATTTTATTTGCAGAGAGGAGATTTAGATACCTGAGGTGCAATTTTACATACATTTTCTCAGCAGTAAGGCCAGCCTAAGATGCCTGTGCTGCTTGTGGAAAACAGCCCAACCATTTACAACAGTGCAACCATTTGTGGGCTGAACTCTAAGTTGGATTACTGCAACGATCTTGGTTTGATTCGTGTTCAAATAATCACTTATGGCCTGGATCACTTCTGCTCCCTATGAGGCTCCGTAGACAGCTGAGTCAACATAAATAAAACGTTTGTGGACTTCAGAAATAAGTGACCAGAAAAACTGACTCAAACACAGATGAATCCCTCAGAAAAGGTAATGTAAAACTGTATCTGCAATGATGAACTGTCAGTATTGGAACTGCACCTTTAGAATCATCAGAGGAGGGCTTAGGAATCTGCAGAAACATGTTTCAACCTCCAGACTAAAGCTTTCTGTGAAACAGCAGACTACTAGAATGGCAAGTGACTGGTTGCAGAACTTTGACTAAACCTGATTCTAGGCAGTAGAACTCATTTAATAATTGAAGAAACATCTATGGAATACATAATTAAATACTAGCTTGTAGAGATACAAAGTTCTTTGAAGCCTAGAACAGTTACATTCAGCTAATATAAACAACAGTAATAGCTATAAAATAGCCAATAATTACATTGTTTCACTATAAACAATGCAGACATATTAATGTGAAGTTGGTGAAATGTTCCTGTCTTTTCTCAGAAATGCAAAACACTCATTGCTGTTGGGTATCACAAAACCTAGGAGCTCCACTGGTGATCAGACTTTTTGACTCAGTGGAATGGGGAGGGTGATTATGAATGAAATGAATCACTAAAAAGATCCATCACTCACATCACAGTGTGCCACTGTGCTAACCTGTGGGGGTCCGAGATGTGAACTCCGGATCAAAGTGGAAAGTGTCTTCTGGCCGTCCCACTGCAGGCTTGAAAGGCGGCTTGATTTCTTTTCTGTACAGTTTCTAGAAGAAGAACAAACCACAGTCAGCAACCTGGCAACAAATTCTGCTACTTCAAAACTCACATACAGGCTCCCCTGCTTTGGTGAAGCCTTTGTTATCCTGGCGCCATCCTTGCAGGACTGACAAAGAGGATGATGAAGCCACAGTACTGGCTCTTGTTTAACTGGCAGGTTTCAAATCTATGCCCTGGCTGGTCCCTGCAGTTCTTAGTTATCAAGACTCAGAATGTCAATGCAATGTTTCTGGTCAAAATTTAGACTGTGAACAGTCTATCTGGAGCATCTGGAAATTCACTGATCTTAAGGGCAGGATTGGAACATGCAATGGTAACACTAGGAAACCACATATGGGTGAGCTGAGCATCACATTAGTGACAACAAGCTCAAAGAACCACTTGGAAGCAGTGACTGCTTTAGCATTTTTTTGTTTGTCAAGAACTAGCAATATGTTTGACACCCTGCCAGATGGAGCTGAGCAACAGGCCTTGCTGCTTGGAGCTCACAAGCTAAACAAGAGATTTGTTCTTTTGGCATATCTGGTGAAGTGGAAGGAGCTCACAGAAAAAGATTAGATGAAATCTATCCAATCTTCCCATCTAAAGGCAGTAGGAAGAAAGCACTGCAGATGGGAGGGAAATCACTTCATGGATGAAAATGCAGATTGAGCAACTGAACAGAGAAACAAAACTAAGGAAAAAGATAAAAAAAGAGGGGAAGGTGTATAGTAGGTAACATCTGGGTGAGTTTTTGCTGGGGAGTGAGGGTGCACGTAGGGTACCACCTAAGTAACAGGCACCATATATATACATATATGTTGGTATGTATAGGTACCGATACCTCGCCTTTGTTTCAAGGGATCTCCTGGCCTCTTTACTCATACTTAGCAATGTTTAAGAAACTGCTCCACTGTGTTTCTTTGCAAGCATTCATATGCACACACACACATTCTGGAAGATGAATAAACGTAGTATGTCTGGAAGTGATCCAAAGCCTACAGAGGTTAAAGGAAAGAGTCCGACTGATTTCAACTATCTTTGCATTATCTCTGCTTGAAGTGTCCAAACCTGAGCACCATGCTGATGGCAGCACCAGGAACAAAGCTCCCATTTGACTCTCTGCCCCATGTTTCCATCCCTAGGCTTTCTCCCTTTCTGGCAATGCTTTTGTTCTCAGGTTTCAAAGAACTGAATTTGTTGCCACAGTTTCCAATAATTAGCATGCCTGAGCAGAAATATTTTGTTTCTTTCAAACTTTCAAGTCATGATAAGAGCTGGAGAGCAATTTAATGACTGTTTACAATATATATATTCTCAAGGTATCTTTTAAAACAACTTCATAATGAGCTGGTTTTCCAAAACATTTAATGGAGATTAAATATATGCCTGTCCAGCTCTCTGCAAGCAGGAAGATTTTTTTTTTTAAACTGTGATTTTTGTGGTGAATTAACTTCTATAATATAAAGCATGTGGTCAAACCTAATATATATATGCATCAACATAATTTAAACTTTATTTTGCATAGATAAATAACAGTTATTGAGGCAGGACATTCTGCAGCATAGTATTAGCATTAGTATAAAGCAGATGTTTGTGGCTGAACTATGATTCCTCAGAAAAGTGGAATGGTGAGGTTGGAAATGACTCTGCAGTAATTAATGGCCATTTCATCATAAAAAAGTTCCTGCTTGTGCAAAATTGCTCCATATCTTCTGAGAGAAAAAGAGATAAATAATTGTTGTAAGCCACAGTGGAAAGCTAGTCTTCCAAATAATTAAAAGCCAATTGTGATCTTAAGCAGGAAGTGTCACTCATCAACTGAAAAGTATAAACCTATTAATTAACATACACATTTTTCTGTCTGCAGGGCGCTTTAAAAGAGCACTCAGCACCTACTGTGGGTTTTCCTCTTGCTAGGATTTAACCTTGAGTAAGCTATTTGCTTCCAGCTTCCTTCTATTTGTCTTAATTCACAACTGCAGTGCCTCTACTGCAAAAAGCAATCTGGTCACACACACATGCTTCCTCCTTGAATTAAATGCACTCCTCATCCTGTGAGGTCCAAAAATTGGAAAACATTTTAGAACTGTACATCATTTGGGAACTGCACTCTCTTTTCATTATCATAACCATATTCTGCCCAGCCTCTCGATTCTTCCCTCCATCTGTAGTTTCTTAAGTGCTGTTGGATCTACTTTTGTGTTTTGAATCCCTAACCCACATCCTCCTCTACTGAGGAGGGATTTGAGATTCATCATGAGTCACATGCCACCTAAAGATGTGTAATCACAAATCTGCTTGATGGGAAGGGATGGAAACAAAGAAGTTGCTTGTGTGGGAGAAAGGAACCTCCTGAGTGCAAACTGGTTGACACCCTTTTCCATTTCCTTTTCCACTTGCAATTGAGTTTGTTTCCAGTGTTTCTGACTAGGTGATTAGGAACATACAAAGGTCAACAGCCTAAAATATTTTTCATCCCAGCTTTTTGAATCAGGTAGCTAGATCGAATTGTGAAAAACAAGAGTGAGCAGAGCAGAGTCATCTGCAGGCTTTGCTATCCTGGCTCTACTGCTCTGAGACAACCATTACAACCACAGCCAATTCATTGAAGCAGACTAAACCACAATGCAGAGTTAAAAGTGAAGGCTTACTGCAGGCAGAACACATCTTCCTTTAAATGGCCCATATCCTGTTGATGCCAATTCACAGGCGACACAAACTGACCTAAGAATCATGGCTATTGTTTTCCATAAAAACAGAGAGCAAATCTCTCAGAGGATTTAAGATCCTTCTAGTCTTTCCAAGAATATTTCTGATTTTAGGTAAAACATATTAACTGATCATGTCTTATCACAGTCCCAAAATTACTTGAGGCTGGTGGCATATCTCTTCCAAATTGATCTCTTCCAACATAAAATCAAGCAGAATGGCAAATGACATAACAAGATAAGTCTGGACTATTGTATTTGACCATTTTTATCTGTCTCTCAAATAACTTCTGGTGATTTTTAAACAGCTATCATCATGTCTGCTGATGACATCAAGCCGAGTGGTATGATTGATAAAGCAGAAGGAAGGGTTGCCATCCAGAGGGATCTTGATAAACTTGAAAGGTGGGACCTTGTGAACCTAATAAGGTTCAACAAAGCTAAGTGGAAGGTTTTGCACTTGGGTCGAGATAATCCCAGATATGTAAACAAACTGGGAGAAGAAATCCTTGAAAGTAATCCTACTGTGAAGGACTACGGAGGCCTGGTTGATGGAAACCTTAATATGAGCCAGCAGCATGTGCTTGCAGTTCAAAAGGCCAATGGTAACCTGTGCTCTATCAGAAGAGGGGTGGCCAGCAAGGCAAGGTGATCGTTCCCCTCTACTCTGTCCTTGTGAGGCCCCAGCTGGAGTTCTGCATTCAAGTCTGGAGCCCCCAACACAGCAAGGATGTGAAGCTTTTGGAGAGGGTCCAGAGGAGTGCCATGAAGATGGTCCAAGAGCTGGGGCACCTCTCCTATGATGGCAGGCGGAAGGAACTGGACTTGTTCAGCCTGGAAAAGAGAAGGCTACAGGAAGACCTCACTGCACTTTCCAGTATTTAAAGGGAGTTTATAAACAGGAAGGAAACCAACTTTTTACACAGGTAGATACTGATAGGACTTTAAAACTAAAGGAGTGGAGATTCAGATGGGGAAGTTTTATACTGAATAAGTGGTGAGGTGCTAGAACAGTTTGCCCAGAGAGGTTAGGGAAGTCCCATCCTTGGAGGTGTTTACGGCCAGCTTGGATGGAGCTCTGGGCAGTCTGATCAAGTACCTGATCTTGTGGCTGGCAAACCTGCCTGTGGCAGGGGGGTTGGAACTTGATGATCCTTGAGGTCCCTTCCAACCCCAAGCCATTCTATGATTCTGTGAACTCTAGTCACAAGAGTCCTGGTTTGGACTTCTACAAAACCCATAGAAGAAAATGTATATGTGATGTGCCTGGAAAACATATTAAAAAAAAAAAAAAAAAAAAAGAGGAAATGGTTTAACTATTTAGTCATTTCCTTGACCGAGCTTCTTTGATAAAAAATTGAATTATTCCTCAGACACCTTTCAGAAGTAGAAGGATGCTACCCTCCACAGTGTAGTACCCTCCACATGTAGTGCAAGATACATCTACCTGTCACAGAAAACCCAATAAGCAGACAAAAAGATGAACTGCCTACTAAAATGTTTGTCCTCTCCTAGATTAATGGCACAATGCTATTACCTTCAAATGATAGAAAAGTTAGCAGAATTCAGGCCTCCAAACAAACTTTTGCTGTTAGTAAAATCTGCGTTAAATAACACAATTCCAGTTCAGTTTGATCTGTGATTAATATTAAAGGAAATAGAACTCGTGTCCTCTTTCTTCCTACTTCTTCCCAGCAGTATCTGACAGTTCATTTTCTAGTATGCCATTTGCTCCAGTTCTAATTTGGTCTGTCATCTAAACAAAAAACACTGCTTTTGTCTCATTCCTCTGCCTGCAGTCTGCAAAAATGAATTTCATTTTTCATTTTCAATGAAAAGCCAGAAATTCTTTAAGCATGACCTGGAAAGAAGAAACACTAATACAAATAGCAGCAACCAGGCTGTAAGATCCAGTGACTGAAATTATCTGAAGGCAACTCAGTTTGGGTCTCTTTGTCTCAGAGAGATAAGAGTGCAAGGGCAGTAAGCAATTAAAAGATCTCAATTAAAAGAAGGAGTTGGACAACTGATCTTCCTGTAAATCCCAGGCTTGATCAGAAAAGACAGTCCATTCATGTAATGAAGAGCTATCCAATTTGTATCAGAGTGCCAACAAAAAGCTTTAGAGCAGTAAGACAGACTTTTGCAGAAACCTTCACCTATTTTTCATCCTAGGAAATGGGTACTTGAAGTTTTGTTGCTAGATGACAATAGCAGTAAAAATAATAGTTATACAGTAATTAGCTCATGCTATAATTTATATTTTGGCATAAATACTCTGATTAGATTCTTTAATTCATTCAGTGCTACCTACACAGAAGATGTTACACCTGGACTGAAGGACAATGCCCCAGAATATGAGAATGCAGCCAAGATATTGTGGGAAAGGACTAGAGGAGGACAATTTTCTATAGCCACATCCATATTTGCCAGGATTGCACCTATTGCTTCTGCCGTGCTTAGCATGAGCATCTGGAGCATCATAACAGGCCTCCTTACATCACGTATGTCATTTCCATTGCGTTCACTGCCTGCATCCAAAACCAGACACTGTGTCTGGTTGTGTCTGTTTAAAGACAGTGAAAGATGGGAAACAAGTGGGAAATGACTGCTCCAACAGGTAAACATTTCACTGATAGAGACAATAAGCAAGCTCTTATTCAAAACCCAAGGGAACAGCTCTGACAGTAAATGAAGATATGATTTATACATTCTACCTTCAATTCTAATGACTTCATCAGTATGATATCTAGACATCACATATAACTTGGAAAGAAGGAACTAACTCTCATTTCCGTTTTAAATCTTTTCATAAACTGATACTAAGCAGATTGGTGTTTTTTTTTTTTTTCTAGTTAGCATGTCACTTCTGTTGTAGGAAAAAGCTTGCTTAAAAATGACCTCTTTTTACACTGGGTTTCTAGAAAACAATAACCCATTGTGATCCTTTGTGATAAAGGGACTTCGGATATAGGATCATTTTACTACAGCCCCTGAAAGTTTCTATGCTGCCAATTGCAGTAGTTCTGTCTATCAGAGTTGTCAAGGTGCCTTAGAAGCTCTCCAGGAGAGATTGCCTGTTGTCCATGGAGGCCTTTATGTTACAAAGATATAAATCAAATTCACATCCTGCCTCATCAATGCTGTTTTTTGTTGATTCTTTTTTCTTCAATACAGAGATCAGCACTATATTATAAAGATAGTTGACCTATGCAATAATGATTTATCTGTATCCAAGAGAGTGCAATGAGAACTAATCAGATTGGATTAAAATAAGTTTTTACAGCTATATTTTACAGTGAAGTTACAGTCTAAATAAGACATCATAAGGAGTTAATTATACTTCCCTCTCTAGCTCCAAGTTATGCTTGTGCACATCTAGCCTGCTCATGGTATATATTTCCCTTGCCTGCCCACGTGAACTTACTCAAATTATGGAGGACTGTGAAAATTCCTTAGGACAGGAAAGAGTGGATCTTTGTCAAGATACACTGGCTCATTTCTCCATGATTTAAGGAAATGCTACACTAGCAAAAGGGAAAGGAGACATGTCATCACTGTTCCAATGTTCCCAACTAAACTAAGATTTAAACACCTGCCCCAAAGGTGAAGACCACGGAGATATAAGAGGAACAGAAGCAGTAATAGTATCAATAAAAACCTTTTCCAGATTCTATTTGTTTGAATACCTTTAGAGTTGATAAAGTTGTAAAGCTTTTATATAGCATCTTATGATCAGTAAAAAGCAGAAGATGAAGAAGAGTCTGGATTCCAGAACCTATGTAAGAGGACAAAAAAACAGTGGAGCCATGAAGAAAAGTCTCAAACTCCATTTCCATTGATCATCTAGTAACATGCTAATGACTCATGCCAACTCTTCAGCATGCTTTTCAAAGTAGCTTCATGCGGTTTTCTAAAATAAATGATTCTGCAGGCCATTTAGAGGCCACTTGGGCACCATAAAATGTGCTTTCACAGAGGAATTAGCTTTATTGAAAAGCCATGGGCAGTGGTTTGAAGATGGCTGTGTGACAGACATTCACACTGTTTTACCAGAATTTATTGTAAGAACTGAACCAGTAAGAACAGTGACGTGTTTTAAAGAGACAGAACAATACCATAAGACAAGTCAGACAAAATTAAACAAGAAAATATTAGTGGATGCAGAAAAAGGGAGCTCTGATGCATTGACAGATGCAAAAATAATGAACAAAAAGTGTTTGCCTCCAAGTTTCTTTAAAAAAGCAAAGCTTAACCTGCTGCAAGTCTGAGTTGAATATTTAGCTAAACTCTACTGCTAGCTTTATGAGCTGTATCTGATAGCAATAAAATAAATCCTTGTTTACAATTCTATGAATCATGTCTGTTTGACATTTCTTATTGGAACTATGTTATATTTGATAAAATGACTGCTGTTCCAATTTTGAACGCTGATGTTAAATTAATGACTCACCTCAATAAAACATCAACCACTTGTGAGAGGAGTTGCTATTTCTTGTACTGGTTGGCTGTTTTGTATACCCAGTAATGTAAAAGCATTGCTCTGAAAATCCTTCTATTTAATACATTTCTGTAGCACCCATCACAGTATCGTAGAAGAGTCAGATCCTGTCTGATATTAACATAAGTGAAAACAGACAAGAAGGTGCCGATAAAGCCACCTTAGAAGATTTATGATTTCCCTGGCATGATGTAGCACAACCTGCTGTGCACCAGCCAATGCCAGTAGTTGTGTTTGGGAAATGATGAGCCTGGAAGTCTTGGGGCTGCTTGGAGCTGCAAGTGTATATATGTGAAAGAGAGGATCTGGAGCTACTCTGTATAATTCAAAGAGAGAAAAGGATTCCTGGAGGTTCCTGACATTGTAAAGAATAAAACTAGGATTTAGTCCCACTTGCCAGATCCAATGAGAAAGGGCAAGTATATAAACATGAAACATAAAAGAATAAAAACCAAGAACATCAGCCTCTCTTCTGAGCATCTCCTTCAAACCCAGTTCATTGGCTCTGTTTTCCTTTGCAACTAAAATACAAAATCATAGAATCACCAGTGTTGGAAAAGACATCTAAGATCATCCAGTCCAGCCGTCCATCTATCACCAATAGTTCTCCCTAAACCATGTCCCTCAGTACAACAGCTAAATGTTTCTTGAACACCTCCAGGGTTGGTGACTCCCTGGGCAGCCCATTCCAGTGCCTGACCACCCTCTTGGAGAAGTATTTCTTAACATCCAACCTGAATCTTGCCTGATGCAACTTGAGGCCATTCTTTATAGTCCTATTGCTAGTTACATGGGAGAAGAGGCCAATTCCTGCCTCTACACAATCTCATTCAGGTAGTTATAGAGAGCACTAAGACCTCCCCTCAGCCTTCCTCTTCTCCAGATTGAATAATCCCAGCTCCCTCAGCCACTCCTCATAAGGCCTGTGCTCCTGACCCATCACAGCTTCACAGTCCTTCTCTGGACACGTTCCAGGGCCTTGATGTCTTTCTTGTAGTGAGGGACCCAAAACTGAACACAATACTTGAGGTGTGGCCTCAGCAGTGCTGAGTATAGAGAATATGAAATATTACAGGAATAGTTTCATTTAAAGCTCATCATTTCACTCTGACTCAGCTTTCACAGTTGATGCAGAGTTTAATGTAGAAATTAGATAAATAGTCTTAGATAGTACTGTCATAAGACAGCCCATCAAACAAAACAGAAAAAAGAAATCAGAGAAAACTAAGTAGATTTCTGTTTCTTTCATATTTAGATATATAAAAAATATTTATACATACACAAGAGATATAGGAACCAACTTAAAAAGCTCTAGATCCTCTGTTAGAGTTCACTTAACCTTTCTGATAAACACGGAAGTCAGACTTCCAAATTTAGCAAAGAAAAATGAAAAAATTAAGGTTTCTTCACTTACGTTCCAGTCTATAGTAATAAAGAAAGGGTGACGTTTAATTTCTTCCACTCCATCAAATCCAGCACCTGACAGGAAAAAGAAAGAATCAACATAATGTCATGTTTAGTAGAGTGCATCTTCTTCTAATTTCCTCTCCAAGTCCTTTTTTTTTAAAAACCAGAGTCACCATCTAAAATTTTCTTCTAATCAAGAAAACCTGAACAATACAACTGCCTAACTGTACAAACAAACATATATACAGACCATGGCACTTCATTGATGAAAACTTGATGGCTGAGGGTTTTTATTTTCCTTTAAGTGAGTTTGTTGCCACGATAGCTCTCTTTGGGGTTCAGGTAAGATGTAGGATTTCAGATACAGCACAGCACAGGCACTTAGCAAGGCCAGGAGAAGTTCCAAAATGTCCTGATGTTCCCCTAAGGCTATGGCTGCCTACTGCCACCAACAGTGGTTGCTGTTGATTGCCTAATCTTCTCTAATCCTCTTCTATCTCCACAGATAGGAAAAGCTGCAGTACAAGTAAGTTCCGACTCAAAATACCAAAAGGCTCCAATTGATTTGAGATAAGGCAACACCTTATCATATCAAATATACCATATCATATTCAAATTTGCATGAGCATCAAAGTCATCACTCTCAGTGGTATCTTTCCTTCACTATTAATAGTGTCAATTTCCTCTTAAGTACACTATGGATATTTAAGAAAACTACTCTGAGATCTGGTAATGAATCTTAATCTGGAAAGACTGCTATTTTGTCAGTTTTGTTGAATTTAATTGCTTCAATGCCATCACAAAAAAACAAATATTCAGTAATAATTAAACAACTGTCAGAGATGACTTAGGATGCTATTTTGGGGGGTTTGATTTGACTTCATTAATAGGACTTTTAATTATTTTTTTAGTTGGAGAAAAAACACTTGGAAGCAAAGGCTTCATACTGCAGTTTTGAAACCAGTTTTTGAAAGGTACCCAGCACTTCTTTACAAGGATGCTGAGTTGCCTGGATTTCCAAAAGGACTCAGGATTAATAAGCATCTTGCAAAAGGCAATCAGCACCTCAAAGGACTCAGTTTTTTATGTGTTTTTTTTTTTTTTATGCAGTATTTGTACTGAAGAATCAACATTGCAAGCAGTTTTAGAAAGGTCTTGTCAACTCCAGCTTTTGTAAAATGTGACATCTGCTCTCCTTGTGTACACGACATTACCAATGTTTGCCAAAATGCACTGATCAGGAACGGCTTCCTACAGCCTACTTAATGTTCACTGATGAGTGAATACGAAAAGCAAAGACTTTGTGAACATAACATGCAGGATTATGTCAGGCCTTCTGGATAATATTTCAAAAGGAACACAGTGCTGATTACTTCCCCATACTGGTAATCTAATAGTATAGACAAACATGAGTGATGCACACGATGATAAACAATCCTAGCTTGATATAAAAAATTACATGTGCTGAGGTGACCCTTTGGGCTATGATTAATAGTTCTAGAAAAATGGATAATTAAATCAAATCTTAGAGAGACTAAAGAGAACAAACACTGAACATCACTGTATCGCTATATATTTCTATTGTACACCTGCAATGTGAGTGTGGAATATAGTTGATTCCCTCACTTAGTAAAGGGTATATTTTTTATAGGTAGAAAAGATCAAAAAGGAAGAGAGGAAGAGTATGGAATGACTGAGTAAGCTGACGATTTTTTATGTGGAAACACACAATTGAGGAGAGTATATTACAGATCAAAAAGTCATGATTGTTTGGAAAGCGGGAATGGGGATCAACCATTTCATGTATCTTTTCCAGTACTTGATTTACGTCAGGAAATGATGCTACTAGGAATCAGGTACAGAGCATCCTGGAGGTCTTTCTTCAGACAGCAGCCAGCTGTGTGATATGGAATTCCGAGAAAAAGAGGACACGGATGTAAAATACTTATATAGGTTCAGGAGGAGATCAGAAAAGTGCATGAAAAAGACATCTGCTGAAGAAATCTGCTTCACTGACAAACCAAAAGAGGTTCAGGAAACTCCTTGCTTGAGCTTAAAGCAGATGGAGACCAAGAGAGAATTCAGGTGAAGTATTACAGATTTATCTTATTCTTGCTCTTTGTGATGCAGTTTATGACTTCTAGTTGTTCACCAAGAATATACTAAGACTATACTGAGAACAGACTAAGACAGTAACTTACCTTATGTCTTATTTGTTTTTTTCCATGCATAGTCTAAGTCTGTACTAGATATCCCTAGCTGATTCATTCCAATTTCAGCAGTTCCAGCAGAAAGATGAAACTGACAAAGTTACTCTGAAAAGAATTACACTTAGCAACTCTTTGGAGAAGAAATATCTGTGATAAATATATTGTGCTCAGTTGGTGGCGACTGGAAACTTTGTAATGTGCATTCGATGTTCTTTACTAAATGAGGATGAAACTCAAGTGCCAAACCAATGTCAGAGAGCTAGGATAAATGCTACAGACACCCCTAAGTTGCTGGTAGCATTCACTAGGCTGAGGATAACTGGCAATATATTCAATCTTCTCTGCCCTGTTTCACTTTTTCCTGTTTTGTGGGCTTATGGATACACTGTGTGATGGGAAGGAATCACCTTTTTAAGACGACCTATTTGAAACCCACACTTTTTGTTCCCTTTTTTTTTTTATTTTTTCCCCTATAAAAACATTGAAAGTATTGTATCTGGTACTATAGAAACCAGAACCAAGAACCAAGCCCATCTATAACTACTGCTGTTTGTGGAGGACTGCAATGTGCAGAAAGGAATGCAGCATGCAGTTGACATGGGTATTTGTTTGAAAAATTAGCATTTCCCAATTGAGGCCACCTTGGAGCTCTGGCACAGAAAGAATACGTTGTTGGGAATGTGATGGCTTGTATCCATCTCTGGCTAGCTTGGTGTATAAAAGAGATTTAGGACGGTAATAGCCTAAGTTTGCAAAGAGCAATGGATTTCTAACTCATAGCAGCTAATTTTACATTGCAGAGAAGACTCAGTCCTTCCTGCAGTTTATATTCCCTGATCTTCCCTGCTGTGAGACCTATTGGTACAGCCCACATCTGCCTCATAAACCCTGTGCTCTGACTGCAGGCAGTAGCTTACGACCCAGTCCCCTCCAAAGCAGAAGAGACATGGTCTGAGGGTGTTAGCCTTGGGGGCAGTTCAGAGAGCCCCCAGGGGCCATCCTGGACCTGTGTGGAAATCAAAGGGAGAAGTTACAGTGGAGGTGCTTACAGTTGCTTACACCTCTCTGGATCCACCCTGAACATCTGAGGCCATTCATCTACTGGCAACAAATCTACAGTGGTACTGGTAAGATACGTGCTTTCATAGAGAAAACAAGCCCAGAAGTCCCATCTGGATTCTCTTGCTTCATAGAGATGGACAGTTCTTGGAATAAGGATAAGGACCGAGAAGACCACTGAATTGCAGCACATGGTGTCACAAACTATGGCCACAAACCTACCACCTTCCTCTGGATTTCTATTTTTCTGTTTGTTTTGTTTTGTTATTTTTTTCTAACTTCACTTTAGCTACACCTTTGTAATCAGATCTACTTGTGAAGAGTGATCTGCAACATCAAACCTACTGCCTGCAAGTGCTGCCCTACAGTCCCACAAGGGTCCAAGATGATAAATGATGCTTTCAGATCAAACTGCAAGGTTAAACACATTATAGAGTGCAAGGATTTATATAAAAGTTATCTCCTATTAATAAGCGAGAACTTAATTACCTAAGATTTTTTTATGCTCATAATAAAAGTGTCTGTGTGCAGTAGCAGGAGAATGTTTTATTTGTAATTATTTTTGATGGTTGAATTATTATGGATAACATGAGCCTTGAAATAAAATGAGGGGAAAAAGGAAGACAATAGGAAACTTGATTATCTGAATATTCAAAATGAGCAGAAGGATTTTCTAGAATTTTAGTTTTAGCAAACAATGTTTGTTTTTCTACAGCTTCCCAATCAGTGGCAGACATTTGGAAATTCATTCTAAGGTTTACAAGGAAGATATACAGTCACTCAATGAAAGATAAATTTGTTTTTTAAAGATCATCATCTCATACAATTGAAAAAAATAACCACTTATTTGGCCTCTATGCTGAATCTACTAGCACGTGCTTTTACTTTATACTTTCTTGGCCAAAATTATCAATTTTGAGGACTCTGAAACCTTTATACCTCTCAGCAGTGTAAAGAGTTCCAGAAATACTCTACAATAATTCACCCACCTGAACAGATCGAAACTTTTGGGGATACGAGAATTAGTCCATTGCTTAATTACTATCAATGCAATAAACTCATACTTCTACAAGTATGAGTACTCTTCTTCTACAATTTCCTTTCTAAGATGCTTGCACCTTCTTTGTCTGATATTCCAGTTTATCTCCTGTAGTAATATAAAATTATGTCCATTCATAATCTGCAATTTGTTGTTTTTAATCAGAGCAATGCTCCCAGAGCAGTGCTATGCAGACAATTTGTTCAGTAATTTAGCTTCAGAAAATGACAGTGCCCATAACAAGGGATGCCAAAGAATGCAGTAATTTCCATTCCTTAAAATTTTGTTAGAAAGAAATAGCATGGGCATCAGATTTTAAAGCAAAATCAGAGAAACATTGAACATCCTTCTTTCCACTCAATTCTAGTATTTTTTCATTCATAATAGAGTTTTAAACAAAGGCTTAAAACAAAGTTGTAAAACTCCTAGTCAATCTTTACTTCTATTTGTTCAAATGTCAACATCAAACAGCAAAAAGAAAGATGATAGTCAGAATAAAATGATTTTTGAAGCCCAGCTTTGTTTAGCTTGCCAAAGTTAGAAACAATTTTGGACTGAATACAAACAATCTCCAGATTTGCACACATTTGAAACAAGGACTGAACACAAGTGTTTGATCTATAATATTGTTCCCACTTAATTTTAGTATGCTCCACTGTTTTTCCAAAGATTTTTCAAAACACAATGTCTAACTTCACTTGCCTTTCAACTTCAGACTATTTTTTCCTTTCCCAGAGAAACCTACAACTTACAAAGCTGAAGCAGGCCTTTTATTTGCTGGTTTCTGTCCAGTATTTACGCCAATCATTTTAATATTTCTTCTTCAAATATGTTTTCATCAATTCATTCTGATTCTCAATCAGTTAAAATACAGAGAGCCTTCTGAAGCTTTCTACTGCTACATTTAAAGTTTTGGCCATGAAATTATAAAGCAAAAGCATGTGCCAGTAGATTAAGCATAGAGGCCAAAGACGTGGTCATTCTTTCCTTATACTGTAGTTGGAGAAGATGGAGAAGACACATTCTGCATTGATGCATAGAAAACTTTATCTTTCAATTTTATGAGATTACAAACTTTAAAAAATAAGTTTCTCCTTCATCAGAATGAGAAAATACTGGGGCTAGAATTATCCTAGCTTATTTGTAATGCTAAGGAACTTTATTTATTTAACTGATCAACTTTTTTTTTGGTTGAGGACTAGTATGCAGAACTGCCCACTGATTTTACTGGAGCACATTTTGGTTGCACAGAAACTTGTGGGAAACCACAAAATAAGCAGAGCAGAACAAAACAAGAGACGGAGAACAGAAAGAAAGCAGAAAGGAAACAAGGAAGGAAGAGAGGAAAAGTTTATATTTATTGCTGTGTCTTATCTTCCTGAACATGGATTAAATCTGGAAATTCCACAAACTCTAGTTTTCTGTAATATGAAGTCAACTGCTTGCAGCAGTTGAAACCTGTTGAGAAAATGTGTTCTTGTGCTTTCTCCTCTGTCAGTCTACAAGAACTTTTATTAGGTCAAGAGGAAGGACCCATGGGAGTGCATCATTTCTGTGGGTCATGTGGAGTTCTCCCATGAGGAGTGGGGTCACAGCAGCATGCCAAAGGACAGGGTCCCCATTCCTAGCCAGCCCTGCAGGCCCAGCACAAAAGTCCTGCAGAAGGGGTTACAAAGGAGAAGGAAACCAGGACGAACATAAGACGTGTACTTTGAAGTTATTCCACACTTCTCTTTGGTTTTCCCTTTTCCTTTAAAAACAAATTCTTCCCTTACTCATCTAAAACACAGCAAAATATAAGAAAGATGAGAGGCAAAAATAAACCTTCAATTTTTTTTTTTTTTTTTTTTTTTTTCCACAGAACAAGATACGATTTTCAAATGAAAAAGATGACAATACTATTATCAGGTATTATTCACTTGATCTGACTATTCTTATTTTTACACATAAAAACTGAATATTAAATTTGCAATGAAAATTAAGTGCCTGGCATGGTCTGTGATCTAACCAAATGTAATGAATTCCTTAATAAAACTCCCAAATAAAGGCAGAGATGGCATAAGATACAGAATCCAATATATCCCTCTAGTTTATCACAATTTAAATTGAATTACTAACAAAGGGGAAAAATATGTCAGCGAGAAAGAATATAATATGTTTTGGGCAATAAAGAAAACCAACTGTTAAAATGTTCATAGCAACCAAAATGAGACAGCATCAAAATACATTTTAGAACAGGGGAACTCAAGATAAATTTTACTGCCTTTATTTCCTCCACTTCTGATTTGCAGCTCATCTACTCAGAATAAAACAAAAAGATCCCTGCCATCCAGGTTCTCTACATTATCATATGCATGAGTTCATAAATGATGTTGGTTCACTCTCCCTGTTTCTTGAAAAAGAAAATACAAGCTAATAACATGTTTTGTATTCCAGTGCTTTTTCTGTGCTCTTTCCAAGTGTCTCTAGTATTCTGAAGGTTTCCTGCATTCTGGCAAGGCATGTAAAATGCACACATAATGAAGAGGATGACTGTCAGGGAAGATGTGAGAGAAATGATCATCACCTGACAAGACCAAGAATATGTAACAAATGCATTGATTTAATGCCTGTGCGTACCTAATCTGTTAGCTGGGTTTCTTTTGAAGAGGGCTCGCAGCAGGCTCTGGGCTTCTATGCTCAAGAACTGTGGCATTCCCAGCTTGGCTCTGAAAGGACACAACACTTGAAAAGAAAATAGACTTTTCAAAAATTTTCTACATCACACTTTGGTTTAAAGAGTGGCATAGCAGCAGGTAGGAGGAGCAAGCAATGAATTTGCTGACCAAAGGCATGACTACCTAAACATACCGCAATACAAACTGAGGGACTGATCTTGTTCTGTTGAAGTTAAAATACATTTTATCACTGGCATCACTGGAATAAATCTACTGAATCTCTTAATACTTTTTGCAAAACATTAAGAGGTATTTTTCCTATGGAATTTAAAAATTTTTTTTAGTTTGTTGAAATAATTTTGGAAATCCAGAGAAATTTAAAGACATAAGGTATCATGAAGATAGTATTAATAAATCATATATTGATTAGGGAGAATAACACTTTTCCCTCAGTGATTCACAGCTACAGAGAAGACATGTACCACCGATAAAGGATAGGCTGCAAGCTCTGAAATACTTGTGCTGCACTTAACACTAAATGAGTAGGAAATTCTCTAAAGAAAAAAATGTGAAACCCTGAAAAAACAGAACATAAGCTGTCCTCTAGAATCTATCTCCACTTCTGTATGGATAATGACTGTATAATTCTGTATTACAGACACTAGCACATATTTATTTTGTAAGGCCTGTTTGGTAATTCACTTCCTGCTATTCGCTCTGAAGACAATTTTAGAACCACACATAGGATTTAGCTGTGAATGCCTTACAGAGCTTTGAAAAACTCATTATACACATTATTAATCTCTACCTTTCTTATACGTTGGACCTATAGGCTGCCCCAAGTGTATAGCTCTCATAGCTAAGGGAATGAAATAGATTTCAATACTCACTTGAGTATAAGAGCCATTGTCTCCTTTCTGTCTTTTCCCTGGAATGGTAATGACCCTGTCAGCATCTCAAACTGTGGAATAACAAAAAAATAGTAAATTGAGTAAGTGTTGAGACAGCCTTAATAGCTCATCACACACCAACCATTTTCTATTTATTTCAAACAGTACTGAAAAACTGAGAAGGAATGGCCCAACAAACAGTAGTTATGGAAAAAATGTTACAGCAAGTCTAGATTATGCAGAATATTATGGATCAGTATGATTACTTAGTTCAAGGGTCTTAAATTGTTTATGCTGATACTTGATGGTAAATTTTGGTAAACTTGGGGAGAAGCATCACATGTGCTGCTATTTCCAGCACGTATTCCTGGTCAATATTGGAGAAAAGATGGATGCTATTGGCCGGACAAAACCTTAGTTTGAACAGATACAGTTATTTTTAAGCATTTGGCAAAGACTGTGCTGTGGGGGCAAATGAATTCACCATCCCTTCTGAGGCAATTACATGCAGCTGTGTGAGGGAAGCATCAAGTTGGTATTAGGAAGGGTTCTTCACTATAGGGTGACTGGGAACTAGAACAGGCTCCCCAGGGCGGTGGTCATAGCTCCAAGCTGCCATAGTGCATTTGGACAACATTCTCAGATGTATGGTTTAGATTTTGGGAGGTGGTTTATGGTTTAGATTTTAGGTGGTGCTGTGTGAAGCCACGATCCTCATAGGTGTCTTCCAACTCAGGATATTCTTTTTATCTGAGTCTTATCACCTTTGCTGATTGCATATTTGCACTACTTAACAATGCCACTGTTATACAATCTTGTCTATTTGATTGATGGTATACTTATACAATCTAGTAGACATTATACTATGTCTAGTATGGATTCAATAGCAGGTCCTTCATGCAGCTCTAGATGCAGTGTTTCATAGGGCTACGAGTAGTAGCTGATGAAAGTTATGCATCAGCAATTAAAAATAAACCAAGAACATAATTCAGCCAAGCATAAAGGAGGACAATGTCCATTAAGAGGAAAGAGAAGAGTTATCCACTTGTATCTGAGATACAGGCTTTGGATCTCTTCTAGGATAAGTACCTGCTAATTAATGCTCATTATTGTAATTAAATACCTCTTAAAGTAGGACAGTCTCTGCAACCATTATGTAGTTTCTGTAACTTACTGCACAAAAGCTTCACTGCTCTCTCTTATCTGAGATTAAATACAGCTGTGCCATAAGAAAACTACCTGAAGGCACAAGAAAATTCTACCTACAAAACTGTTGAGTTAGTTTTGTGAGGAGGCTAAATGAGAGGCTTAGAAGCCAAACAACTAATTGATTATAATTAATTGAAGGACTTATTTGCATTACGTAAAAATTACTACAAGATAATAAAATATGAGCCAGAAGCATGGAAAAATATTTTAAAAATGTTTGTATGACTGAAAAATACAGAAAAGATTTGGAAAAATGCAAAGGTTTTCACTCCTGTCTCATCTAAGAAAGTCAAGAGAGCAGCTACCTGACAAAGGAGGAAAAAAGCAGCTTGTCTGCTAGAAAGAAATGTGATAGAGTAGAATTGTTGAAACTGCCTAAATGACAGAGGAGCTCAAGACCTATTTTCAAAATAACTCTGACCTATAAGAGCCTCTGTCCTGACAAAAATGGTCATATATCCTTGTGACAAGGGGCAGAGAAGATCACTTCCCAGAGCAGTAATGAAAGTGGCACATTGTACAAAACCCTCATCATGATTTCTAAACAGCTTCCTTTATGTTCTAGGCAAGTATCTAATATTCACTTACGCTTGCTCATGTCACTTTGCTGTTATAATAGATTTGATTTAACAGCACTAACAACGACTGCTACAGCTCGTTTATTTAGACAGAAATGGGCTTGAAGCTGCTGATGTATATGATAACAGATACATGCTATTGCTTGGCCAATGACTTTGTGAGAAAATGACAACTGTAGCTCCAACCCACCAGAATATCAGAGACAGATCTGCAAACACATTATGTGTGCAGGGCCAAGCAACCCAAGGGCAAGAAATTCAGATGCAGTGTTGAAGGAGGAAGGAAGGAAAGAAAAAATAGAAGTTGCAGGAGGGAGCAGGGGAAGTCACTTGTCCTAAAGGCTGCAGGGAGTATTTACTGCACTGCTCCAACAGCTAGCGCTTTGTTACCAATTTTACAAGTCTAATGCTGAGACTAATGCAGATTCAGGAGAAATGCACTTAACATCAATATTTAAAGTGAACTGCCTTATGTGTTAAATACACCAGAGCTTTTGACTACAGTGAATTCTACCGAGCAGCAGCTGGAAGAAAGCACTGGTTCCTATAAATGCTGCCCTGATTCTGAAATCTGTTCAAGATTAAAAATGAAACAATGAAACTGAAGAACACTGAAAAAATGAATATAGTTAAAGCTGCTGCACAACACTCTGGTTTCCTGTTTTTTTTTTTTGTTTGTTTGTTTTTAAATATCAAAACCCTTGCTAAACCTAAACATGAAAACAGAAGTAAGACTTTGCTGCTAATATTTCACATAAGTTCAGAGTCATATGGGTCATGGTAGGTTGACTGGGAGCTGAGCCTAGGTGTGAACAAACTTTACAGCATCTTTGGCTATTAAAGTGAAATCCATAGTTTTGCTGGGAAATGCACTCTTCACTTCCCGCTTCCCCATCTGTATAAACCATCTGTTGGCTTGTTCCTTGCCTCCCAACTACTCACTTCTTGGGTATTCTGGAGAGCTGCCCCCTCAAAGCCAGCACTTCAGAAGACATTGTCTCCTTCCAGCTTTGGCTTCCTTTCCATACTAATATTCAGCAAGAAAGGCAAATATTCCCTGCTCCAGTTCAGCTGTCTGTTAATGCAACCACAGAACAAGCTTGGTGGGAATGGATACGAGAAGTGATCCTGTTAGGTCATTGAGGAAGAGCAACTACAAGAAAAATCCACAGCCTGGGGTAACTGCCAGATGAATATTCCTAGCAGATGGAAGGATAGAAGACTGTGCAAATAATCCTAGCCCAAATCTGCCTGAATATTGTGAGCCTAGGACAAAAACTGAAGTCACAAAAGAAACTCGATATTACTCAGAACTGGATAGTAGAGACACTCTTGTCAGAACAGCTGGCTTCCCCTCTCAACACTTTCAGCAATTTTCCAGGAAGCTGGGAGTTGGTCAGGCACTCAGTTTTACCATCTGTAAAATGCTTTATTTATCATTATTAGCTATATATGAAGCATAATGAATTTTATTTCTTCTAAAGGATTTGAATACCTTCACATAGCAGCTGGCATAAATGTTTAAAATATGGTTCATTAAGAATGCTATCCGATGTAATGGGAATAAAACAAGAATATTATGATAGGATTTTGTAAAAGAAGATCTTATTGCTTTGATGTACTATATTGATTTTTCCAGGGCCACTGTACAGGTCAAAGTGGAAACTACCCTAAAATAGAGTACGTTGGCTAGCAAGGGGAATATTTTCCTTTCTTGTACAGGCCTGCTTGTGCAGGTCTCTTGATGCAAAATTTCTGAAGAATAGTGTTAAAACTGAGCAAAATTCCATCTAAAATCTTCAATACAGTAAGTAAGATGCAAGAAGACAAAAAAGAAAAAAAAAAAGAATCTAGACATGATAAACCACAGCTTCCCCAGCACATTTGCAATTGGGTACAAAACAGTAAAAATCTCTTATTAAGTAAGAGGCAAGTACTTGCAGAACATTTGAGAATGGTGAAATTGGACACTGTTGAATTCCTGGCAGCTTTTCCAACTAGCATAAAAACAGCTTATCTAACAGAGGATGCAAATGATGAGCAGAGCCCAAGAAACACTAGAAATTCTTGTACACTTCAAGCGTATGAAAATCCTCTTGCCATAATCAGTTAATTTATAAAGAGGAAAAAAAGGTTGAACTGATTAAATATATTTTTCTCTGTACAGTAGCACTCAGAAGCTTAAAGCATCAGCTTACAATTAAAATAATTTAACTTTCTTTAAATGGATTTTTATATTTTCCAATTCTAACATGTTGAATCTGTGGGAGAGGATATAAAGAAAAGAGATTGAGAAAAAAAAAAAAAAGCCTAGCAAAAAACATGTGGCAAAGAGCCAAGTTCATTAGGAGGTGAAAGAAAACCAATCTTCTATGCACCAAAAACATCAGTGTTTCTTTTAAACAAAGATAGTAAAAGATAGTGAGAAGGCACAGATATCCTCCAGAAGTAAACACATGAGAAATTTAAAGGGTTGTGGTGTATTTATTATAGGAGACATAACCTATTGATTTTTCTGAACAAACGTGATTCAAAAGTGCTCAGCATCCACAAATGGCTTTGTGTCTCTAGGAGATAAGGATGTCCATCTTTTACATTCAGGTAATTAATTGAAATCTTTACCTTAGATTAACTGCTGTCAACCAGCTAGATCAGCAATGTAGGCCCTCTCCCAAAATATGCTCACTAGTTTTCACATTGCTACCTGTTGCTACTTTTGTTGGAACCATTTGTTTGCTTACGGTAAACAATATTTAAATAAACTGTCATTTCTGGAAGGGTTTGTTCCTATCTGACTTTGGGATAACATTACTTTTTAGCATGAATAACTCCTTTCTCTCTATCATGTTCTTCCTTGTTGTACATTTCTAGATGGTATAGGCAGTTCTTGGACTAATGACCACCTTAAATTAGTAACTTGCTCCTGCAACACTGGGTCAAATACTTTATTAAAAGGTACATGAGAGTGACTTTGTTTAAAAATGCTGATGTAAAGAAGGCAGATTAATGGCAAAAGAATCTGAGGTACTGTAAAGCACTCAGAGTGCCCTCAAAAATACATTGTTTTAAAAATATATTTTACAAAAAAGAATAATTGTACACTCCCGAGTTTCTCCAAGAATATGCCCCTAACCTCTGAAATTTCCTGCCTTGGGAATGTTTCCAAACAAGATCTGTGTTAGTAACTAGGTAGACATTTTTTTCTGAAATGCTTGCACTCTTACAAGCTTGCCCTGCTCTGTTCCTGTGGAACAAAAATATTTATGGCTCAAAGCAACCAACTGAAACAACATAGTACTGACGGAAATGAGATAAAGGAGAAAATCTACGGGCAAATTTTAGCTCATATGCTGCCAGGGGCAGCTTGTTTCCTATTCTTGATGCAATGAAAATGATCAGGCAATTATCACACATCTACTTCCCTATCAACCCTTTACTGCTGAAAGTTATATTTGTTATCTCAGTGACTGCTCACTTTCCAGACACCACTCCAACAAAAAAATACAACTTTTCCATTACCATGAGCACACCAAAAGACCACCAGTCGGCGCTCTGAGTGTGTCCTCTGCGGTTGACCACCTCTGGGGCCATATACTCTATTGTCCCACAGAACGAATACGCTCTCTTGTCATGATCGATGGCTTCTTTACTCAGACCGAAATCTAAATAAATTGAAATAAGAAGACTTGTCAAATTTCTAACAGGTATTATTAACACTTATGCACTTAAACTGTCCAAATAAAAAGTGGTTGGAGAATACATGGAACAGACAATGGAGCACCCATCCATCTGTGGGCATATTCTGTGTGTAGGAAAGCCACAGGTAAACGCACAGCGAAGCTCTACCTACGTTAAATACCTGAGTGGCATTTGTTAGTATGTCTTGAAAGCACATGTACTATTTTTTTTACCTATCACTGAGGTTCAAAGCAGAAGAGAATGTGCAAGTCAGCAGATTCAGTTCAAGAAACAGTTTGAATTTGGCAAAGAAAATGCTGGTAAAGATTCTTTCCTAATTTACGATAGCATTAATAGCAATAATCCCAGATGGGAAATGGTGATAACACATTTCATGCAAAGGGATGGCTTTCGAAGACGTCCTCTACACAGCTACAGCTATTAAATTCAGAGAAATTTATCTGGAGTAAGCAATCGTACTGGGAACATCCACCCATCCACAGTGGCAGGCAGTCAAAAATGTAAGCTCTATCAGTCAGGATAGTGACTTTACCAAGAAAACCTATGTTTTCCACATGCTGTGGAGACTGAGAGCATGACAAATTGCCATAAGAAAGAACATGAATAACCAAACTCTTCTGCTTCTTAAGCTTTCTTTCTTCCTTTCTTTCTTTCTTCCTTTTCAAACAATGATAAAGTTGCATGGAACATACTGCAAATTAAATCAGCTTGTAGGCATTAAGTTTCCTGTTCTTCACGTACCTGTTATCTTAATGTGGCCCTCTTCATCAAGAAGAATGCTGTAAAACAAAAAGCAAAGATACCTTCATTACATAGTCACAGATTGCAGTTAACAAAAATGAGTAAAACATGTTTAAGACAAGTAATGAGATATATACGATTCAAATACATGTGCAAACAAACCCTCACTGCACTATATGCTTCCATAAAGAAAAATGATCCCCAAAAGCCTAACTGATCTCATGCCTGAAGCAATCACTGCCTGTGGCAGTTGAACAGGGAGTCTCCTCTTTACTCCATGGCATGTTCAGGATGAAGATGTGAGCTGAGCTCAGAAAGAACATGGTGTTCAAAGCAAACACCAACAGAGCATTTGCTTCCAGCAGGGGATAGAGCTATAGGTTTTCTGTTGTTCTCATAATAATAAAGGCAAGTACAAAAATAATGAGGGCTTGGACTCACTGGGTCTAAAATTAACTCGAAAGGTAGATACGTTAATGCTGAAGTAATAAAAGTGATTTTAGAGCATAATGACTAGTCACAGCCTAGCTGCATGGATCTCAGCCCCTGCTAATTTATTCTGTCAGGAAGCATAAATGAAATTTCAGCCTGGAAGCCAAATTCAAGTGTTCTCACGTTTGCCACCTGCCAACATTTCTTATTCTCACAAAAGCACTCCAAAATTTCTATAAGAAAAATGACTGTAGTTCACAAAAAAACACTGCCTTTTTTTTTTTTTTTTTTTTTTTTAACAGAAAGAAGCAGGATCGGTGAAACTAGGAAATAATAAGATTTTGCTAAATTTTGTGCCTATTAGTGCTGACACAGTAATGAAGACGATGTTTCATCAGTCCTAGTTAGATTTAGTGCATTTGTGTTTTCAGACTGGTCTAACAAGATGTCAGCTATTTTTATACTTTCATTCTCTTACAGAGTCACTTTGGTCCATTTATGCAGGAAGAAAATAAGACAGAAATGAAGCTAACACATTGGGAAAGGTTGTGTGTAACTCTTGTTAAAAGTTTCCTCTGTGCTGAAACATAATTGAAAAGAGGTGATCTTCTGCCATTCATTTGTGTGTTTGGAACAGGCTGTTATTGTGTAACTCATCAAATAAAGGCCAGCAGCTGAGTCACTACTGTATGTTCAATAATTAAACCTTTTCTTCTCAATAAAAGCTTCTTTCCTTAGATTTTTTCTGTGCAGATTTTTTGAAGAGGCATAAAATTTAAGTACCAGAACATAGCAGGCTTGCTTACAGGTACTTCTGTGACCGAGTTAAGCACCTGCCAGCTTGAAAGCAAGAGAGAATGCCTGAACCCCACAGACCCAGCTCTGCAATAGTGGTTGATGGAGCACAGCTCATGGAAATCACCCCAGATTTTGTCCCACACCCAGCAAGTCCCTCTGAGTAACAGTGCAAATCAAGTTGTGTGGAATTTTCCCCAGAAATATCAGTTTTATATTTCATTGATTTCCTATTGGAAAATTCATGCTGCTTTTCTATGATGCAATATATGGTTTTCATATATTTCCCCTCCATTAGAGGTATGAAGGAAGGCAATAGCCATGCAACTATCAGACTCTCTTGGGCTGAGTGAGTTGGAAATATACAACAGACTTTCTCACACTAAATGTTTGTACGAGCAGCTAAATGAACGGATCTTGGTTTGCTAGGGGCACATATCCTTTATCTTTGAATACTCTGTAGTCTCCTTCTGTCTCATGTTCCCTAAATCTGCCCTTACACACAATCGTTGGCTGCCTTCAGCTTCCCTTCGCCCCTGGCAATATGTGTGGGACAGCTGGGGGTTTCCACATTTGCCATCTGCCAATGCATACAATGCTATGGTTATGAACTGAAAAATTACTTTTGATGTAAAAAGAAAGTAGTATGGGAGGAAATTATAATTGCTGCCGTGAAACAGCTTTGAATGACATTAAGAAGCAAAGTATTCACATTACCACAACTGACAAATATTTTTTCTTTGACTGCAGAAGCAAATTTACTCTCTGATCATCCTTTCTGTCATCTTTTATCTCTATCATTCTACTGCTGCTTTTATCCCACAGTGTCAAATAGAAATTCTATTGTGACAATTAAATTATGTTAGCTATAGTTTGCAGGATCAGCTAAACAGAAATAAGCTACTGCTATTTAGGAGAAGGAAAAAAGAACTAGAAGTTGTTAATGTGATCTGGCCTTGAGAAAAATCTTTCTTCTCAATCAATGTTTTGAAATTACAGTAAGAAAAACAAGAGAAGGAGAATGTCAAACTAAGCTATAATTCCACTGAGTGATAATCTTTCATTACCAGATTTTTCCATTTTATTTGCTCAGTTTAAGATTTAACTGTGTTTACAAGCTGCTGCCATTGTCAATTTGTTTCTAAACAACACTTCTAAAAAAACAACACCATTTTAGCCTCAGGATGGTCCAACAAAAAAATTGAACTGTTTTAGTTAATCTCAGTTTAAATGTATGCCTTGAGACAATAAAATCTGAAAATCTCCATGTCAGAGCCTGGGAAGCTAGCCTAGGAGCAAGGGAATGACGTTCTCCAGGCTATAGGAGAAGCTCATGGTAGAGTTAGGACTGTAACTAACTCAGCTGTTGTTTAGTGTGTTTTTTCTGCACAGAGATGAAAAAAAAAAAGCCTTCAATATTAGTTGTTGACATTATTTCATACTGTATTTTATAACTAAGGCCACAGTAGCTCTCTCTCTCTTTTTTTTTTTTTTTAATAGAGTCAAGTCTTCAAGGCTTCCTATTGAACTCCAGTATAACATAATGGTTCTGCCAAAGCCATTAAAACCGTTTGTTTTGTTTTTAATGATTTAATTTCTTTTTCCAAGTCAGCTAGTTTCACAGGAAATTCAACCCACACTTCATGTTTTTTAGAAATTGTAGCCAAAATCTCAGGTTGGAAAAAAAATCTGAAATTTCACAAAGAATATTAAGTTTGACTGTAGGCTTTGGTCTGAAAGCACTGAATAGAAAGAAATACAGAGATGAAGATGTTCCCCAACTGTCCACCTTTTTAACATTTCAGCGTATGCATGACACCATACTGTCTCAATAAGCTGAACAGTCTTAGGCTGAAATCATCTGTGCCATAGCTTCATCGACACCATGAAGCTCCAGAAAGGGACAGCTTGTTTCAGTGGATGCTGATGGCTATTTTATAACAAAGGTCTTGGCTCCTTATCAATTCTCAGATCTTTCTCCTCTACAAAAGAGAGCTATGCTCACGAATGAATTGCTGTGGTTTATAGCACATAAATTCCATTAAATGCAAGCTGTTATATGAGCAGCTACCTGTCCCTTTTATGGACACCTGTGGGCAACACTATGTAAGCCACCTTGTAAGCTGAAGCCTTTACAACAGAACTATATCAAGGTGTAACTGGGTACCTGGAGATAGAACAGGCAAAAATAAATAAAATGCCTGTGCATTCACAGAAAGTAAAGTTACTTCTAAGCCATTCACACTCTTAAACCACAGCATATATTTCATACACTACTTTAAAATAAGTTCCCACTTTTCTAGTTTAGTACAGTCACATTTAATAGCTTGATGCTGCAGTTCTTAAGCAGAAACAGGCCTCACTGTGTAAATGAGGTCTTGCCCATTTCATCAGCTTCAATACGACCAAACAGCACCTTGTTCCACCAGGGACCTCACTGAAATCACCAAGACAACTCAAGGAGAAGAAAGCAGCATAAGCAATTTAAAAGCATCATTATCTCCTTGCTCTGCACGAGACTTCTACCAGCAAAATCAATCGTTTGCCTTTTTAAAAATAAGTACAGCTCACTTCATGACAACTCCCAGAGTACGTATTCTAGTTGCACTTAAACTTAATTTGTAGCTTTGAATTGTTAATATGAATTTTTGTTCAGGGAGTCCTAAAAAAAACCCAACTGAACCGGACATTTTAATGTACTGAGGGTTCTTTCAAGTGATCTGAACAGTGCTATTTTATAACAAGTCTTCTTTGACATAAACAACTCCAATGAGCTTCATTTTAGGATACTTGCAGAGATGACAGAACCAATTTCAAGTTTATTAGCAGTTACTTTTGGGAACTTCTGGAGGATGGCAAGAGCACTAAGCAATGAAAGAAGGAAAAATGCAGTGCTTATCTTTTAGCAAAGGAGGAGAAGGATAGTGGGGAAGTTAGAAAGTAATTTATCCCAATTTCTTTGTTTTGCAGCCTGATCTGACTGAGTAAATCTTTTCTGATCAGACTCATAGTGCTTCCGAAGATGTGGTGCAATTCTGGAAGTTCTACTTCAGAGGGGATACAGATCAAGAGAAGTCAAAGTGGAAGAATGAAAATGACTGAATGCCTAGAAAGACTGACTGGTTAGAACATTCTCAGTAACCAGGTTGTTTGGGCTACAGAAGAGCAGACTGAGGGGATGAGGATGTGCTCACAATCCCCCCCAAGTCTGCTGCTGAGAGCTGAGTGTGCTGCCTGGGGAGTCTGGAAGGACAGGCAAAGGAGCACGGCCTACAACTGCACCAAAGAAATGTCGAATTAGCAGCTGGGGGCATTTTAGGTTCTAGATACTAGCCATACAAATGATAGAACAATGCTGAGAGCCCTGTTAGGGAGGCTGTGGAGTCTTTACCAGCTGTTAAGAGTAGATTAGCAACACACCTGCAGTGACCTTGATACATTTGACCTAGCAAGGGGGAACATGAGATCATCCTGCGATAGTTCTCATTTTCTAGTACCATCTCATCTAGAAAGCTATCCTTTTCTAGATGTTACTTAAAAATATGGGAAAAAAAAATTTCTCCCCTTCAGAATGAATCTTTTTTTCTGCTACCTGTTTTTCTTTTCTAAACTTTAAGTTTGAAACAGCCACTGTCATGCTTTGCTGTTTGAGACATGACTATTCATAAAGTTGGCACTTATAAAGCCAATTTAAAAAGTTTTTTTTTTTTTGTTTTGTTTGTTTGTTTTTCCTTTTTACTTAAACAGACACCATGATTTATTTCCAGGTATAAGCATCAGTTACACCAGTCTGGGTTATTCCTACTCAGTAATGGCAATAATAATGTAACTCAATACTAAGGCATTCAATGATATCAGCAGTATCTACTTAACTGTACATCAAGGACCATACTAAAATGTCAGGTTGTAAAAATGTACATTTAAAAGCTAGGAAATACCAGAATGAGGGCTTCACCTTAGATTGACCTCATTCTATAAAGGTCTTCAGTTATATGGTGAGTCTCCCTGGTTTCTTCCAGAGAACTCCTACCACAAGTGGCGGAACAGATAGACAATACCCAGGGATTTTAGCAAAGCTGTAAAGTGAAGGGGATGGCTGACTGGTCTTAAGACAGATGAAAATGCAGAGAACTGGTTCCCAGCTTGGCATTTTCTGCTTGGCAGTGGCAAATCACTCAGATCTCCCTTTCTTATGTGAGCACTAATTTCCTGATTCACTGATCCTTGAGAAGAGACATTATAGTTTGGTCTGCAAAAATATTAAGTTCTGTCACTTGCAACAGAATTCTGTGAGAAATGTGCATTAAAATGCAAAGTGACACAAATGCTGAGAACCCTGAAAAATCATGTTGTGCATATTTCACATCCTGTGAATAGCTCTGACACACATTTAAATTTCTCCTTGGTTTCTAACTTCACTTAAAGCAAAAAAAAAAAAAAAAGTTTGGCATGTGACTATAAATGTAGCAGCACCATGACTTATATTTGAATATACAGGCTTATATATGGAGAACTGCTAATAGCTGCTTCATATATCATATGCTAGTATGAAAAAGAATATATCTAACGTCAGAAATAAAAGTAGATGATTCATATTAACACTCACCAGAAACAAAGTTTAAAACAAAAAAGCTCTAACTGGATTTCTTAGAATCATTTGAGTTGCAAGAGACCCTTAAAGATCATCTCATTCATCTTCCCTGAAATGAACAGGGAGTTATTCTGTAATATACATATCTGTTGAAGCTGAATTAATAAAGTAACAAACCTGAGCCCAAAGAGTTGCTGGCAGATGATGCAACAGCATGTGGCAGCAGCAGCTGTAGCATGACTGTACCCACCTGCATCTCATATTGCAAAACCAACTGGTACTTTTATTCCACTGCAGTTTAATTCAGAGTATAGAAGGTGGAAATTTAGACCACCTGAAAGGGTCTCTAGCTGAAAGTACTGAGAGCTCTTCTTAGGTTAATCAGTGTGAATTCATATTGTGCTACTACTATCGCTATTGTAAAAAATCACTAAATAGAATTTAAAGTTTATATCACTACTATGCTGTAGATAATTAGCCTCTTCTCCTTCAGCTTCTCACCTACAAAATCCAACTTCTGTTACTCTTGATTTCTTAATTTTTCTGTGACCATGATGGAAAGAATTGCATATTTTTTAAATTTTGTGTCACGAAATGAAAAGGTTTGCTTTGCTGTTATATTTTGGAAGTATAAACAGCCAAGCAGACTGCTCTCAGTTGTTATCATTTTAAAATGTTTGTGGCCATTGCATTGAGAAGGCTGAAAGTTTGACATGCTGCAGCCTGCTTTACTGGAGCTGGCACAGGAGAAGCAGGCAAAGCACCAGCCAAGTGGAACAGAATAAAGGCAATATCACATGACTTCCAGCCATAGCTCTGTGGGTGTCATTTAGTCTATTGATTTACTGCAAAGGAAAAAGAGAAAGGAAAAATCTACAGAGCACCACATTAACAACAGCAAATAGCTGTAAATATCAGCTAGAATCATTCTGGGACAACAGTTTAGTTGTTAATAAAAATGTTTTTAAAATACTGGTTATTATCTTTCATGAGGCACTGCACACATCAGTTTTCAGAGTTTCATATATGTTAAGCAGTGGATGCAGTAAAACTGAATGTGCTACCACACATTTTGTATGAGCTAGAAGTGGATTTGCTTTGGACAGTCTCTATCTCATCAAGGGGAAGACCAGATTAAATAACGCAAATCCAGAACAGTGATACTGAAGGGAACAGAACATGTCTTAACCCTGCTTTGAGCTCACTCATTAAACTGAGGCTACATCATACTGGCCCATAGTCACAGCACTTAGCCTCATGCTAAAATAAGATAATGGAAAGACTCAGAGACTGGGGCTGTCAGGACTGGTGCTGAATTTATGCATTAGCCTCATGGTAGAACCAAAAATAAACACAGGTGAAGAGACTGCAGTGCCTCTGTTCCAGACATTGCAGGATCTCCCAGTTACTACCAGCTTGGCTGCTTCTATAATTATCACAGCACCACTGCCTCAGCTGTTGCTCCACCAATTTACCACTTCCCATGCTTCACTGGTGAAGATACATGGTCCTTCCCTACCTTATCAGTTACACAGGAGGAACAAAATCTACTCCTGATGGTTAAGCTCTCATGCATAGTCTCTCACACAGGAAGGAAGGCAGAGTCTGGTACTTTTTGATTTACTCGTAAGATGAGGACCAGAAACAACCTAAAAGCTCATGTATTTATGTTTTAGCTCACTCTTTCTCATTAACTTACTTTTCTGGTTTTAGATCCCTGTAAATAATTCCAAGCCCATGGAGGTGGTCTAAAGCCAAGGCCAGCTCAGCTAAGTAGAACTTGACATCCTCTTCTGTAAACATCACCTAGAGAGAAGGAAAAGAAGAACATGTCTATTTACTAGACAGTGGTGGGCTGGCTTACATTAAGCAGACACAGGGAAGGAATTGTCTAACTCAGGAATGCTGGAAGGCCCATCATATCAGGTTCAATTTTCCATAATTTGTCTGAGCTCACATTAACAGTTCTTACCAGATTCTCCTTATAAAACAAAACTTGATCTGCTGAGTACTCCTGTTCCTTAAAACACGCTGCTCTCATTCATCTGTTTGATTTGTTTAGATGACATCATGTCACAATAATATAAATAAGGTTCTAACTCCTTACCCTTTGGAAGTCAGTAGCAAAATTCAACATTCAACACTGCAGCCTTTATTGTTTTCATACCTCTCAATTTGCTAAAATCTTGGCATTTGATTCCTGAATTCTCATAGAGAGTAATATGAGGAACCCCTCTGAAGAAGTGTAACTCTTCTTGTTTTAGAAACTGAAACATATATTTTTTCCAAATACGAGCAGAATACACAGCATGAAAACACTCTGAGTTAGATTTAAACCCCCATGCATCAAAGCTCCAAGGAATCTCTAGGGACGAGACTCTCACAGGGAAAGATTCCCCAGCTTCTGCACAGGAGGGAAATGGGCTCCCCCACCCTCAGCAGAGCACTACTAATTTCCTGAAGCATAGAATTCTGATTATGGTTTTCCAGGTGGAAATATCTGACACAGTGTGCCAGAGGTTTTCAGCATGGTACTACTCAAGCTTGTATGGTTTGGGATATTATTGGAGGGAGTGAAAGAAAGAAACCTGACATATCCTTACACATGACAGCTAGAAAAAAGTGTCCCCAGTGCAAAGGAGCATCTACAAACAGTACCTATGCTTTGGCTGTTGGAGAAGAAACAGCTTCCCCCTGAGCTAGAGCCAGGGACAGATCCAGTGCAAATGATCAGGGAATATGACCTCAGGCTGAACCTTAGCAATCCTGGTGCACATGCCCTGAGCAAAGATGTGTTGGCCAACACACAGGGCTGATGGCAGTTGTCTTTCAGTAGCTACTACCAACATTGGAAAGCTTTGGATTAGGTGGGAAGAAACTTCTGCAAACAAAACAAATCACTAAGCTCAGATGCCAAGAAAACCTTTTGTTTCTAGAATGGTTCAACTTTTATTGTATCCCAGATGATATTTACTTCTTTCTAATTAAAATTCAATATGCACAGCAATAATGCAGAATGAGAAGCTGGTGCATTGCATATGCAAATGCAAATACTACATATGACAGAAGTAAAATGAGTCATCTCAACACAGATTTACAATTTTTTGCTCAGAGATATGGTGAAAGACCCATCCTTAGAGATACTCAAGGCCAGGCTGGACCAGGCTCTGAGCAATCTGGTCTAAGTGCAGGTGTCCCTGTTTTCATTGCAGCGGAGCAGTAGTAGATGGCCTTTAAAAGTCCTTTCCAACTCAAACGATGCTATGATTCTATGATAAACAGCTGCAAAGTATAGGTAGACAAGATGAGCTGCAAACACAGAAAAGAGATGTACTAGCACTGCCAAGCTAACAGATCTCATTATTGATAGCATAAAGCAGAGAATTCAGTGCACTGAATTGTGAAAGCTTTGGGAAAACCAAAAGTGTCAAATGAGTACAAAATCTGAGTCATACTTCCATGCTCCTTCACTGTGCAGAATGTGTCAAGAACCACTTTTTCTCTTCTCCTAGGAAATCAGAGAGATTCTTTAAAGACAGTGCAGTGTAACAAAGCTGTACTTTGTAACGAGCAGCAGGAAGATATTTTTATGTTCTTGAATCTTTTTCATTCTGTTTAAAATAACTGATTCCATATAGTAAATACATCTACAGGTACTATTACTTGGCACTGCCATAAACCCACTGCTGATGTCTCCCTGCATTAGCAGACAGGCCTGGAAAGAGAACACTTGGGCTTACAGCCCATGGTGGACTCAGAAGTCTGCCTGTCAGCCCATTCCATAGCATTTCACCAGCTGCCACTGCCACCCAGACTGGGTTTGTGGGGTGGAAAATGCAGCTAGGGAACTTCTGCATGAAAGTTCTATTCTCATAGTCTATCCATAAACTCTCCAGAACAAAGAAAAACTCCCCCCCTTCATCTTATCTTTAAATATCCTTTGTCAAGTGAATACAGATGCCTCATCCCCATAGTCTGGACAGAGACCAAGAGCTGAGGACACTACGCTAGTAACATCAAGCCCTGGAATACAGACAACTCTTGGGACCCCTAAAGCTCCCTGGCTTCTCCCCGGAGGTGGCAGGGCTGCCTCACCAAAGCTCTACTTCTCCCTGCAGGACTCACAGACAGGTGGCTCCAAGAAGCACTAGGAGAAACAGGCAAGCACGAAATGAACGTAGATATCTTGCAGCTACCTCTCTCTGCTGGCGTTAGTGAGACACAGGTTTGGTTTTCTAACTATCCTGCTCTCCAGCAGCAGCATCTCTCCACAGGCAGGAGCAGAGGGCAGGGGACTGATCGAGGTCAGAGAGGTGAGGAAAGCAGGATAGGCAGGTGACAATCAAACTGCAAGCCTGAGGCAGGGAATGACCTCCAACCTACTCCCAGCAGCAACTACAGCAGGTGGTATTGTCCTGCTGGTGACTGATGCCCTAATCCTCTGCACATCTTCTGCAGGGGTCAGACCCTGACTGACAGCATCTCTTCTTGCTGGCAGCAGTTGTGCTTTTAAAGCAGCTCTGTGCTCACATCCCAGGCAAAGTGTATTGGAGATGGGCTTCTCAGATTGCCTCTCATCACAGCCAAGTTATATTTGGTTAGCAATGAGCCTGGAGGTATTTTGTTGTGATAATGGCTGCTAGTTTTCTGTGACAGTGATGCTTACTGCCTAACTGCTTAATTATCTGTGGCATTATTCAAATATAATTAATAAGAACCCACTTAGAGATGCAGGATGATGCAGCTCTACTACACATATAGCCCCTATCTATCTATCTATCTATCTATCTATCTATCTATCTATACTGCTTTTATTTATATATAGCCCATATGTATATATATGTACTATTTTCAAAGCCCTTTACCATTCCCACCAGCTTCATTTGTTTCTGAAAATCCAGGATAGTCTTTCTTTTCCAAAGTTGAAGTCTTTCAGCTTACCTCTTTGGAGAGTCTTGTGAAAAGGTCCCCTCCCCGCAGAAAATCTAGTATTAGATACAACTTCCCCTCTGTTTGAAATGCTGCATTAGAAAAAGATTGAGACATTGGAAATTTGAATCAAGATAAAGTCTCCAAAGAATAAATACTGTTGACTGATGGTATATCATTTGTGATTTTAGCTCTACCATCATTTTTCATTTAGTGAACAGAAGAATTAACTTCTCTACAGCAATAAGCAATCTATCTTAGACAATGGGGAAAAACAGTATCAGCTGAGAGACAGTGATATATTACTAAAATATTCAATTTCATTCTAAACATCTATGAATTCATATTGCTTTCCACTGTGCAAATACCAGAAGACATGGAGTGCTGGGCACAGGGAGGAGTTCCCAGACCTGAGCAAGGTAGAACCTGGACTATTCACAGCGGGCTCTTTACAGTAGGTAATAATGGGCCTAGGGAGCTCCTAAGGCTGAGGAGTGCAGCTCCAGCAAGACCATGAATTCACAGTCACTAACATGCTGATTATTAAAAATAGTTCCTCTGTTTTCGTAGATGATACCAGACAGCAGGTGAGGGGGTTTGCAGATGTAACTAACTCATCAGCAACTCCACTAGCATGATACATCACACTACATTTTATGTCAAGTGTATTTTGCTGGATAAATGGCTAAGAGCTACTTATGCTAAAATTCTATGCTTTTACAGACTGTCATATATAGGCAGTCGGTACCTATATGAAATTATAACACATCTAGTTACAATTCTCCAACATATTTAAGAACAAACATGAAGTATACTTTATTGTAGTTACCATAATGAAGCTTGACTATGAAAGGATGATTCACTTCTGCCAAAATGTCTCTCTCCATTTTTGACCGTACCCGATCCCGAACTATAAGGAAAGAACAACAAGAAAAGCAACACATTAAGAGGCATCATGGTCTGCTGGATACAAAATACTGCAATGAGCTTCAGGTGAGCTGGGTCCTGCTTTCAATCTCTTCAGGGTTTGTGATATAACCATTGGCAATCTATGCCACGCTCTGATAGCCCCTTATTCTGCCTGTCTTGCATCTGCAAAGGGTGAGCTCTTCAGGAGGGCACTGCATCCTCCTCTGTAGAGAACAGCCTGAACCAAAAGCACAGCAGTGTTACAAACGAGGGGAAAGTGATTGTATTTTGACAATATGAGGGTCAAAACTGTATAAAATCAACAGCTCTATCTCACTTAAGATTACACCAAATGAACCAGTCTCAGAGCTTACCAAGCTAACCTTCTGCAACTTAACATTTTGTATGGTGCTGATGCTAGCAGTCTTCATTAGATATCTCTAGATAACATTCTCTGGAAATTATTAATATGAACTACCATAAGCCTCCAACAATACCCTTAAACAATCAGTAATAAAGAAAAAAACTGATTAAAAATAATAAAAAACGATTTCACATATAGAGTAATAATTGTGGGAAAGCAGCGAGAAAAACAGTTGTGGCTGAGATGAGACTGAAAGAAAAAGGAGTTAGGGAGGAGAGCCGAGTTCACACTCATCAAAGTGAAGATTTTGAAGCAAGTACCTTTAACAATGTTCAGATGTTGAGGGGTATCAAGCTCTCAGATTGCCAGCTCTTGATCTTAGACAGACATTTTTCAGTCAATCACTATTTTTCTAAATCTGCAATGGAAGCATTAAAATTTTCTTCTCCTTTCTCTGTATTACACAATGCCAATATGGTTTGCAGCCAAAAGCATCCATGAGGAATGCTTTGTGACTATTTTAGGTGGTAAAGCCTGAGATCTTGGTGAGATGCTGTCATCGCCTGCATGTGTTGTGGATCTGCTGAGAAGCCAAGCACTCCCAGCACCTCAGTAATGAACATACCACAACAAAACCACATACCCTGCTGCTGCACATTAAGAACTGATGCACAGAAATAGGACAGAAAAATCTGATCTGAAAACCTTAAATAGGAGTGGAGGAAAACTTGAATTTCTTGTTGTTTTGATGCTTCACTTGTGTCAGTAGCAATGAATAATTTGCTAGCTACTCAACTTAAGTTACCTTGTAGATAAAAAGCAAAACAAAGGGATCTCAGAATCTTAACTCATTATCTCATGAACATAAATTACACTTCATACAATTAGAAAATGCTTAACATATTTGAAGGGAGAGAACTCCTCATGTCATAGATCTAGATCCCTGTGATATGCAGGAATGCTCCCAGGCTCTTGGTTGACAGGCAGGTGAGTGGGATACTTCCTATTAGGTTTGGTTAGATATCCTCATAAAGTGCCTCTCTGTACCTCTATATGCTCACACAATGACATACCCTACAAAATCTACAGGTTATTTTGTACATGAGCTGGGTGGTTTACCATGCACAGTTGGATAAAAGCATCAATCATGCTACCAAGGCAAGGAACAGCTATTCTGTGCAACTCACACTGTCATCTATATACCTGCTCTATCCAGCATTGACTGCAGCACTGAACAGACACAGACCAAGGCTACTCAAGACTAGGAGTGTACTAGCTGCAGAAAGTAGCCATCATCCATCTGAGGTGCAGTCCAGTGTCAGCAGCAAAGTTGGCATTTTCTGGCAGACAGCAGCATGTCCTCCTACCACCAGCACTGCAAGCTCTGAACAGCCATGCCACTGGGTAGTTTGCTGAACTCCTTTTCCCCCCATCCTGCTTGCTGCTGTGGTGGCCTCTGTTACAGGAGTTACAGGCTGTGGACATGCAGGGTTACATGTCATCCTCCTTCCCCATGTGTGCAGCATAGAGTCATGGGGATATTAAAGCAAAGTCTCTGTCATTGCAAGAGACACCTAAATCTCTAGTCACGGCCTAATAGTCTGCGCTGAGCCTGGTCTCCTCCAAAGCTGCCGTAATCATTACCTTTGCAGTGTCAACCAAAAGAGATAATTGGAACCTGTAATTGGGATTACAGCTTGGCACGTGCGTTGGTGACCTGCCCTCTGCATCTTCCAGCTTCAAAAGCTGCTCCATTTAAATGCTTTGAGGGCAGAAGCCACACAGGCCCAGATATTTTAACTAATTATATTCTCTAGGAAGGCAAATGCACAAGCTTTTTTTCTTTTCTTTTCCTTTCTTTCTTTTTTTTTTTTTTTTTTTTTTTTCCCTTGGTCTGCATTCTGTTCTTACTGATTGCCTCCATGTATCTGGGCAACATTTGATCTCAAACTCCAAAGTCACCTCTCTAGGATACCTACCTGCTCACAGCAGCTTGCACACCACAGGGCACTGTTTTATGCTGCACATTCCCTGTTCTCATATTTAAAAACATCCAACATTTCACATGATAGTTAATTATACATATATTAATATTTAATGATGCAGTAACAAGACATGGTATTCAATAAACACGCAGCACAAGGCCCTCTTGCCTTTTCTTTTCTGGTTTATTATTAATTCTGCCATAACAGGAGAGAAGACATCTTTTCTCTCATTTCATAAACAGCAAGGAATTCCTCTGTTGTTCATTCCACTTACATTGTTGCGACTGGGGCACGTGAATCTCAAATTCATCAGGAAAAGTTTTAAGAAGGGTAGCACTTGAACATAACATTCCTACAACACGAGGCTCCAGCTCAGTCTGACTTCTCTGACTTCATCATTCAAGTACAATGGTCAAGAAAATTCATCTTGGGAACTTTTTCTAGGATTCAGAGGTCCCAGCCTGCCCTTCTGAGGAAACATCCCTTCTAGTTCATATATCCTGGTAGTTGGGTAATCAGATTAATTTGCTCAAGTGTGATCTGAATTAGTTCTGGCTGCTTATTTTGGCCTGCTTGATCTTATGTAGGGAATCCATCTGTAAGGGGAGAGAGGGACAGGGTCTGAATAGCTGCCTTGGTGCCAGGGATGACAAGGACTAAACATTAGCAGTGTGCATTTCTGTGCAGTGATCAAGCAAACACATACATTTTTGCATGGTCTCATTTTGGGACCAGTTAGTGTGTATCACAATGAAGTTCTCCACTCATTTCCAAACTAACTGAATCTCTAGAAAGGACCCCCTGGCACAGGGCTGCTCTCAAGCTCAGAGCTTCTGCCCAGCCTTTGGTATTGATGGAGATTAGATAACCTTAGCTACCCCTCCTGTTTTCGACCACTTGTAAAGACTCAGAGCAGCACACACAGGGGAGGTGCAGGTGGCTTTGGCAGATTCTGCCTGCACCAGATGTTTACTTTCACAAATACAGTCCCATTGGAACTGGCGCTAAACTGCTAAACTCCTGGCCTTTCTACCCATGGGTTTTTAAATCATACATCAGATGGAAGCAGAGCACACAACCTAGAACAACGAGCATATAGTCATGAAGATTGTTTGCATGCTTTTGGGCTAACTAACCACCCCTGAAGTAACCCCTTATGTTGGAAGGCAGAAAAGACCAGACTGATGGGACCTGCAACAGGGGAGGAAGCACCTGCTAATTTGAAATAAAAACAATTCCCATTTCTAGGTATTAATGTGATATGAAAGAGAAATGGAGACAGCTGAATATGCATGCATATAAACTCAGCTTATTCTGTCTGTCTAGCTCTAAACATCAAAGAAGACAAATTTACCATTTATTTTATTTAACGCTTAAAGAGAGGGTTTAATTTAACATATGAATTTTATTTCTGAGGCTGTTCCAATTTTCAACAATCATGAAGTAATGAAGGGAAAGGGGGAAAAAAGGAAAAATACATTCAGAGCACCTTCCAAGGGGAAAAAAAAAAGTCCTTCTCAAAAATGGATTAGCAATCAATTTATTAAAAAAGAAAATAAAACCATAATCTTATTTCCTTCACTGAAGTTTTTATCATATCAACTATGGTTGATATGGTTGATTCTGAAATACAGAAAGATAAAAAGTCAGTGCATCTCTAGCTATAGACACTGTCAAGCAATGGTGATCTGGGGACCTTACTTGATGTACGTGCAATCACACTGTATCTGTTCAGTAGGCTGTCAAGTCAAACTAAAAAAGCTTTTAGTTAGAGAAAACATGGCCTGCAAAAGCTGTAAAAGGGAAGCTTATAAAAGAGATACTTATGTATTTGGTATAACATCAATTAAAATGTATAGTTAATTCACCATAAGGGAAAAGTAACTTGCCATATTTCTAGTGACAAGGTACCTGAGTTGAAGTCAGAGCTCCATGAAGTTAAAAGCCATTCAGACATTAACTTCAGTGGAGACTGAATATTGCTTCTGGGATCTTTTTGGTTAAAGAATAATTTCTAAACATTTTAATTCAATTTCACTCTTCTCTTTGCTGACCAAAGTAACTCTTTTAAATTCTATAATAAGTGCTATTAAAATTTTCCTAAAGCTATCGAATTTTCGAATTATCGAATTTTCGAAGCTATCATCTAAATCTTACCTAGAATACAGCTGATATTTCTACTTCGAGAGAAGTATATTTTAGTATAAATTCCAGTGCAGTTTTTAATGGTTTTGTATGTTTGTTTTTGTTGTTGTTGTTCTTGCATACAGATTTGTTGCTACAAGGCATGAGCTTTGTACTAAGTCCCACAACCAAGTCATGTCCCTGAGGTATCTAAAGCTAAAGACATTTCTACCATGCTTCAACAGCACCAAAGTGATAACTTATTTTTCTTAAGAGAGCGTTTAGAGTGTAATTCCCTATATGACTCTAGTTCCTGTGTGAATACCTGTGGCAGCTGTCTGGAAATTCATGGTGTGAGGGTGACGAAGCACTGGAACAGGCTGCCCAAGGAGGCTGTGGAGTCTCCTCTGGAGATGTTCAAGACCCACCTGGACACCTACTTGTGCGACCTGGTGTAGGGAACCTGCTTTGGCAGGGGGATGGACTCGATGATCTCTGGGAGTCCTTTCCAATCCCTACAATTCTGTG